GATGTGTATAAGAGACAGTATATATATATATATATATATAAAACAAACAAAGTAGACAAACATAGAAAAATTCCATTTGCATTTATTACTACAAGTTTGTCTCGTATGGACAGCTGTTAAAAGCTGCCCACACTCATCAGGTACAAATACATCTGTCCATACGAAAACAGCTGTCCATACGAAAAAAACTTGTAGTAATAAATGCATATGGAATTTTTCTAAGTTTGTCTACTTTGTTCGTTTTTTTTTTTGCTCCCAACCGGTTGAGCCCTCTCACCATTGATGACTTACAAAAAGATCACCTTGATATATATATATATATATAATATGTGAATATGTAATCTGCGCCTTATTTGATGTTGATAACTTATTTCATAAGCATTTAAATGTTTTGTTGGTATTATGAGTGGTTTTTTCCTGATTTCACCACTTCAAAGTAAAGCTTCCTTTTACCTTCTCATCTGCAGGCATTGCCTGCTTCCTGTACAATAAAACATCGCTACAACATCCATATTTAAGATGACTTGGCAGCATCTACTATTTTCTATGCTGATCGGTTTCATTGATTTTATTGTCCAAAGACAAAAAAAAAAACTTATGCAGGAATATATTGTAATTCAATTGCTTGGTACAAACAGCTTGAGCATATTCTTAATGCCATTGAGGAGGTCATCTGTGAAGAACTTGCAATTAATTATTCATACAATGCTGGAAATAATGTTGTAATATGAACTATATATCATCATCTGCATACCTTATTCCCATCAGACATTTCTCACTATATATGTACAGTATTTCATTATTGATACAAAAATGTTGTTAATCCTATGGTTTCTATCGGAATAATTATTCACATGCTACAATGTGTCTTAAATTCTAATTTAGTACAATATGCTATCAAGGGCCATTATCTACTCAAATGTCTTCCTGATTCATATACAGTACATACAAAGTATACACTTTACCATTTTGATCCTAAATTGTATATGTAGTATGTGCATGCAGGTAAGTATGTATGTATGTGTATAATTTCATGTGTTTGTATAAAAAAGGGCGTAGGTCAAAACCTCTGTTGGGATTGATTTTTCTCTCTTCTCTACAATAAATAAATGCGAATTATAGAAATATTAATATTTAATAGATTTGTGACTTTGGGCTGGCGAGAGTAGAAGAACTCGACCGGTCAAAACACATGACCCAAGAAGTCGTGACTCAGTACTACCGAGCACCTGAAATCTTGACCGGCAGTAAGTACTATACAAATGCTGTTGACATGTGGTCTGTGGGATGCATCTTCGCTGAACTTTTAGGACGACGTATTCTTTTTCAAGCACAGAGTCCTGTCACTCAGGTAAATAAGCGTTCATTGTAAAGTGCTGCTAAGCATTGTCCACACTATCAAATCAATACAGTTGTGTGCCCATATATGGTCATGATGTGCCTATATATGTTCATGATGTGCCCATATATGGTCATGATGTGCCCATATATGGTCATGATATGCCTATATATGGTCATGATGTGCCTATATATGGTCATGATGTACCTATATATAGTCATGAGGTGATGTCTTCGTGACCATATTTAGGCATGTCACATGTGTTTGTTAAATGAAATTTGATAGTCTGGACAGGGCTTTAAAGTGATCATCATATACCCCTTTTACACTGCCAAGGTCAGAATAAACCTGTGTATATTCTTTAGTGATACAGGTGCATTTCACATTTACATTGTAAAGTCTGGGTTGATCCCGAGTTGCACCTATTTTGCATCGGCAACAACGCGGGTCCAAATACCGCCCTCAATTTCTGTTGTGATGGTGATCATCACTTTGCTCGAGTTGTTCGCGTAGTGGTGGAGCCTAATTATTGTCAATATTTAACCAATATATCGGCAGATTTTTTTTTTAATATGCGAATTAAATCAGCAATTTTGTTGTCAATGCTATATGAAGCGCAGGAGGCTTAATTTGAAAATTGTGTTGGCCTAGCCCATTGCCAGCCAAATTTAGGCCTACTATTCCCATCCTAGCTCTTCCTTTATAATGGTGTACTTTATGATAATCTTCCTGATTATTCATTTGTTCTTATTGTCTACATATCTTCAGTTTTTCTGTTAAATTTCATTATGCATTTGGCTTTAAGAAAAAAAACGATTGCTATAATCATCAAGAAAATCTAAATATCAATAAAAAATAAAAAACTTGTATGATTGATTGTAATGTTAGAAAATATGAGACAAACTGAAAATAGGAAGATGTTTAATTATTCAATGAACAAATAAAATGAGATAAATATGCCTTTTAAAAGTGGCTTCTGTAATATCAGATATTAAATTTGATGTTCCAAAAAGAAAATTCTTAACTGTTACGTAAATTATCAGGTCACATTTTTGTGCTACATGTTGCTGAAATGTCAATACAGTATAAAAATAGGATAGGTAAAGTTACAAAACTTAACAATTATTATGTTCAGTTACCTGGTATCTTACAAAAACCTAAAATAATCCTAAAATTAGTGTTCAATTATTGTGTAAACACTCATTATTAAAACATGTTTATAAACATAGTTTGTCATCAAGTAAAATTAGCAATTCTGTTATGTTGATAAACATTTCTTCTATATGTATGTTTACTAGTATTTATCTTTTATTAAACATTGAATATATTGACATAGCATAACATTAATAGCACACTCTTGCACATTTCAAGATAAGACCTGATACTGTGGTGTTATAATGGTGCTAAAATGTGAGCACTATATAAATAGATATTATTTGTACAAAATAAATACCTATATATATAAAAAAAAAATTATTGTAAATATTAAACAACATTAGCATAATCATAGACCTTTTCATTGTGCGTGCACATTTCCCAAAGGCTTGTGACCCACCCCATTTAAAAATCACAGTCAAGTAGTTAAAAATCACATCATATCACTTTATTTTTCGAGCTAGCTTCCTTACTTAATCATTGCTATCCCCCTCCCCATCATAAACTTCCCCTCCCCCACCCATTTCAAGACTTGTAGATATGCCATTGTTTGCATTGACTGGTTATCAGTTTCAGGTATCTTGTACTGTACTAAAAGTGAAAATGTATTTGGTTTGTTGTTTGTTTCATTGGGAGTTGATAACATATTTAATACTTTTGAATAAGCTAATTAATATTTTAATTGATTTTTTTTTAAAGATTTTATGACATGGTATAAATCCTTAAAAATGAAAAGTTAAAAAGTATTACAAATTTTTTTTAAAGTGATTTATGTTTTGTAGGAAAAATAGAAGTTACCTTTTTTAATGTATATCTGTTCTTATTGACTTAAAGATAATCCATTTTTCCTAGAAACTTTAATATAAATAAAAATTATTACTGGAAATAAAAAGAATTTTGTTTAATTTTCTTTAGTTAAATCTGATAATGGAGCTTCTAGGAACACCTAGTCATCAAGATCTTAGGTATGCATGTGACGGAGCCAAATCACACATTTTACAGCAACCACATAAACCAGTAAGTATACATATCAGTATATACTAATATGCAGTTATTGTAAAGTTTTGAGGACAATATTTGAAAACAAAATAAATAAAAAGGCACTATAGTAATATAATTTATTATTATTATTATTATTAATATTATTATACTGTACAAGTATTATTATTATTATTATTAAATATGGACCATTGTTGCATAATAAAATAGGGTGAAGTAAGTAAAATTAGTAGCATATAGTACACAACTATCAACTTCTATGAGAGCATATTTAAACTGTAGCCCATTTTAAAATACTTGTCTTACAATTTTGAGGTGCTTTTGTTGAAATCCTGTGTAATGCCAGAGTTAGTTTCTTGCTAAAAGCAACTCCCTTCCCCATCCTTGACTAAAATGAGGGACTTAAGGTTAGAGAACATCACATTGTCCCATTCTATAATTGGTAAGATGTTAAAATGTATGAACAAAAATTACGTAATGTGTAATTGTTTACATCATCTTATTCTTTTTACGTGATTTTTTATATCAATATAAATTTATTTAATATTAATTTATTATTATTTTGCATTTTTTTATTTTAAATTGTAATAAGTGTGCAAAAAGGAAAAAGAGCCTCATGACATTCGAACAAAATTTGCATCCAATTTATAGGAACATTTGTCGACTAATAATGAATCTCCACATGAAGATGCATTCATGTGTAGCATCCTAACTACATACTGTCAGAATACTACGTATGGACTGCTCAGTAAACATAGCCTTTAGCAGTGTAAACCCCTAATCCATATAGATCTAATATAGCCTTATGCACTAATCGCGTAAGTGATCATTGAACTAAGCATTTTCATGTTAATTTCTGTATCCGCAGTCATCGCTATCTGCGCTGTACACACTCTCCAGTCAGTCAACCCATGAGGCTGTTCATCTCCTTAGCAGAATGCTTGTATTTAATCCAGTGAGTATTAACTGTACTGATCTTATATTTAGACGGATCAATTAATCATTGTATGTAGTTAATCGTCTACTAAGCTACATCTATTCATCATCATATGTTTGAGAGAATGCAACTGTGTTCGAGATACATTTAGTATATGATTTGTAAGTATTATTCTGGACCAAAATTGGTTCAGAAATAATACAAATTATTGCTCTTCTTTTGGCATCATATTGCTAAGAAGGAATGTAATCATAAGAAAATTTAAAAAAAAAAAGGAAAAGAGAAAAAAGTGTTACATAGATTATAAATATAAATTTATATATTGCAGTAGCTTCTCATCATCAATGATGCTAATGTCACCAACTAGATATACATGAAGCAGCATTCATGGACATCCAAATACACCCACAGACACACCCCTGGCCAAACACTCATATGCGTCACCATAAACACACAGAACACAGATGCCATATACTCTCAAACATACTGACCACAATAAAACATGTACAATCCCTAAACATGCAGACAGACCTTGTCTCCACCCATGCCTTAACTACACCTGATTATTCACCTGAAGAAGTGTATTGTGTATAATGAAAGCTATACTGGTACGATTTATGATACTATATTCATCATTCATTGTTATTACTAAAAGCTTGCTGTCTTGTGTTTTTTCAGGATAAACGCATCTCTTGTACAGATGCCCTTGCCCACCCATACCTTGATGAGGGTCGTCTCCGCTACCATACCTGCATGTGCCAATGCTGCCATAATACACCCACAGGACGTGAATATGTGTCCAACTTTGAACCATGTGCACCTCAACGATTCGACTCAACCTATGAATCACGCCTCACATCTGTGCGACAGGTCAAAGGTAAAGAACTTACAAAGATTTCAAACACAGTTAAAACAAATGAAAACATTAATTTAATCATCTATAAAGTGTAATACAATTATGTACTGTATATAGCAACTATTATATATTTATTTTCTAATTATTTATAAATAAGCCCTAAACCAAACATTTTCAAAAACATTAATTATTATAAAAATAAAATGGTATATAAAAAAAAAAATTACATTTAACAATTTTGTTTCTAAAACAATTCTGTAATGACATACCCTGTAACACAAGTATTCATACATGTTAAAAGTTGAAAAGTAGTCCATAATAACAAATAAATGCTTAATATATGCACAATCAAAGTTGCATCAGGTACAATTGCGTTTAAAAAAAACCAGTAAAGGTTCATTGATTATTACAGAAGCAAATAATTTATTTATATTCACATTATCTATAATTTAATTATTATATATTATTGAACACATTTATGTCATGAGGCATAAAGAATGCTCTAATTACTATTTAGTGTTCATGATTAGTATGATGAAATTTTCAACCTATCTTTATTTTATGTTTATTTCAAAATCAAATTAACCACCAGGAAACCTGGCACTTACAGAACAGTATTGTTACTAAGTATTTTCTAAGTCAGTCAGTACTAAAGTTATCTGAAGATGAACAATATATATTCAATCATAGTGGCTTGCATTGCATGCATTGTAAGCTTAGTTCTATTACCCTATTGTGATCTTAATCTTAGTTTATTGTTTATATGTCCATTGTTGATGATTTATTCATTTGTTTATTGAGCTTTACTTGGTGGTTTTGATTTTAGCTGGTTACAGGAAGGAAACCTTTGATAAACTTTCTAGATTATGACACAATATCCTAATTGCTGCAACAAACAACCTTCTTTGTTCTCTATAGAATCCCTGTTAAAGTTCATCACAGAGCGCCACCAAGGCAACTACATACCACTCTGTATTAATCCGCAATCTGCTGCATTCAAAAGCTTTGCTAGGTAAGTTCCAAAGTGACACCAACTATGTACACCAAATAATAACAAAATTATTAATCTTAGGCAAGACCTTTTTTGGTATCTTGTTTAGCGAACTTGCTGCCGCAAATAATGATGATTTGAAATAGAAATAAAAAAATCTCAAAAAAATATGATATGTATATTTCTTCCTCATTATATAAATTTAAAGCAACCATATTATTACTACACTGTTTATATTCAGCAATAAATTTGTATTTTTATTTTCTCCTTTGTTTGGATGTTTTTAGCAAACCACTTGCTAAATAAGAAAACAAACTTTTATTTTTATATTTTGTTCCCCCTCCTCTGACAGTCTTTAAAACAAAAGTTTGTGGAACAAGGTATTAAAAAAGTCTAACCTTAGCACAATTGTATACTGAACAAAGTAAGGGTAATTTATTGCTCAAAAATACAACATGGTAAAATAGAAAATTAGCTTCCTTGTATTGCACAGGTGTGATATTCCAATTAAAATGTGATTGCAGAAAAGCCTCATGGCCCAAGCCCATTGCCAGGTTTGGTTTTTAAGGTTGAATATCAGTAATGAACAATAGTGTTGGTGACAAGATTTTCCCAATGAGGGGCCTGGAACCTCTGAAAATTCAGGAATTTGTATTGAAAAGCTTATTTAATCTATTCTAGCGACTCACAGTCTAAATATTACAGATTTTTTTCTCATCATTGAATTGTTTGTTCTTCCTGATGAAGAGCCCATTGATCCCACTTAAGCTATGAACAATGATTTTTTTTTTTCATTGTCATAACAAAATAATTAACAATATATCTGTAGGTAATGAATTGCTCATATAACAGGATCAAATAAGTTAGTAATTTACAGATTAAAACAATTAATTCTTCTTGGAATTAAAAAATGTTATTATGAATGAATACCGGCCAATATTGAATATGCAAAGAATATTGGAACAGTATTGTTATGTCTGTTAATTAGCAAGGAATTATTATCTTGTTCTAATTTTAATTTTGAAGCTAATACCTCGCTTTGTATGCTGAGTGAGCAATGCAAAGTAACTGTATTAATTTTATTGTTCAAAGCTATTAGAAACTTGGCAATAATTTACACTTGTAATGTTATTTACCTATTGCATGTACAGTAACTTTAATCATGTATATTATATAAATCACACAGTTGAAATAATATATAATTATATCCTACAGCTCAATACAATATTTGATATAAATCATAGTTAATATATATTATATATATATATATCTTTATAGTTCAATATAACTACAGATATATAGTATTATGCAACACCTGTACAGTGTATATTTTATTAATTTGATTGGTTGAAAACAGGTCACATGAGATTGATTTAAACTGAATATCCCATGGTTATTTGAGTACTAGTCAATGATCGTTAAGTAGTAGTTTTTCACCTTCAAGACGATAAAAATCTTCAAAGCAACGCGAGCAAGAAAAATATAAATCGGCAGATCCATTTGGTACTGGGTCATTTGTACAAAAAAGGCAATAAAATATGCAGTTAACTGTATGGAGTATTTCGCCAGCTTCAGCTGTGAGGAATTAAGAATTATTAGCCAAACCTGAACTTAATCGACTCCTAGGCTTAGCCTAGGTTGGTTTTATGCTGGCCTTTGGAAGGAAGATGGGTCCTTGTATCCAAAGAAAAGTATGCAGGCGATCCGAAGAGCTAGGTGTTCTAAAAAACAAATAATGAATGTTTCTTATTTGTACAGTGGGGTAGAATATTTCATTTGGTGAAAGATTGGATGCTCTGTCAATTCGACCTACACTCATAAACATTCATTATTTGTATACTACCCCATTCCAGATTTAAAATCATTATTGAAAATATTTTGTTTTTACTTTTTATTAGTTCTTCTGTTGCCAGTGCTGCTGAGCTTCCTCCAACGCCTCAACCCTGGGAATGAGCCTCCGTCTATTCCACTTGCTTTGCTCAACCATTCCCAGTTTGATGTACAGTACATGGTCATGGCTCACAAAAATGTTTCTAGCATTTCTTCAACTCCATGGACTCTACATCAAAGCGTGTGTGTAGTGGCTGTTGGAGTGTTTGAGGTATTTCCATCGGAAGCATTCACAAAGGACGCATTCCCACGGAAAGTAGCTGCGAACGCTATACGAGAGATGGATTTTAAGAATTTACAAGAGGGGTGTAACAAACCTAGATAAGTCTTGTAAATGTAATTTTAAATGCTGCACATAAAGTTCATTTTGAGCCGTTAGGTAATGTTATCCATGTTCAGTCGCAACTCGATTCTTATTAAGTGTGAATCTGTGTGACTTGCGTTTGATAGCTACCTCATGTTTTAGTTAAATGTTTTGATTATTTTTTTTTTATTTATTTATTTCTTTTCAGTTTGTCATTGCATGAGGTTTAGTGTTTTGGTGTTGTTTCCAAGGATGATTTATAAACAATGCCCTCTCTTGACAGTCAATTTGTAGCCTCCTAACCAGTACTAGAATAAAATATGCATAACTTAATAATTTATGAAAAATTCAAGCATCTTAATCTACTTCCAGATGTTAATTTTTTTTTTTTTAATCCATCCATCATTTTTATTTGCCAGTTTTATGTTTTGATGGGTTGTGGATGTTCCATTTCCGTTACTCTATTTTCTATTAGAGAGGATAAAATGGCACAGTTCAACTTAATTTATTATGCATTTATTCTTTGTAATTTACATCTAGAGATCGAGTATATTATAAAGTGTAAATCAAGCCAAGTAAATTGATACATCTCATTTCCCCCCCCCCCTCCCAACAAACCCACACACATACACTTGTACAGACATTCATTCAACTGATTGTAAACAACATAACACAATATTGGTGCAAACGCTGCATGAAACCGATGCAATAAAAGTTTTTTAAGTGTTGTTTAATGTTTAATTTCCATTAATTAGTAAATTAAATACAAGATATTTTAAATATTTATTAAAATCACTATGCTCATTACAACATATTTCTATTCTATAACTCCTTTACATGTTTGGATCACCTTTGCCAATGCAATAATTTGATTTAAGTTCACCCTTGAAAGGGGTTGTATTTAAAAGAAATACCTTGGTTGTCATTCTAGAGCCTCCCACCCCTACTCATACACACACACACAGCTTTCCATGATAGCGTTGTGACTCCTCACCCATAATGTCCCTTTAATATCCAAAATTATGGGCATAGTGCAACTAATCAGAATCAATTTTAGGCATAGCTGTTAAGCCAGCCGCTACAATTGTGTTCCAACTGTCGCTCTGTTGCTGATTTTTTAGATGAAGATGAAAATATAGTTTTATAGTAAAGAGGCGGGTCCAGAGATGTCCAAAGGGTGGGGCCGAAAGTGCGGCCGATTGAGATAACAATACACTGGGGGACGGGGGCATGTCCCCGCAAAATTTTTGTGTTATAGACGCCCGAAAATAACCTCTGAGGCCTTTTGGGCGATAATCTTTTTCTTTTTTTTTTTGACTTTCCAAAGGCCCGGCCCCCCCTCTAAATCCGCCCCTGTAAAGAATCAGTTTCAGTGGAACAACTCACCACTTGGTGTATTACTTTTACTTTTAAAAAAATGATGCGTCTTTCGAATGAAGTTTTGTGATTATATACTACCCCTGTACATTAAAATTAACACAAACCTAAACAAGTAATCATAATATAAAGCAATCAACAATGCATGTTGCTTACTCCAAGTACTGTATAAGTTATAGGTACAATAATTAGTTTATGTTTAACAAGTGCTTGTACAAGAATAATCTACTTAATAGATGGATGCTATGGCAACTGATCATGTGACCATTAATTATTATTAATGGATGAAACATTAAGCTGAAACTATTGTGTTTACATGAGACAGTATGCCGTTAACCATTGTTGTACCTTCAATTCTTTTTAGAGTTCCTGCTATGCTCTTTTAAACGTGATATTAGTTGTCTTGCTCAGAATTGCTTGGTAATGTTCATCACACTAAAATTCTGGGTTACTAGTTCTTCAACAGAATGAAAAATTAACTCATAGCTATTATATTTTTTTTTATGAAGCCTAAGGAGGAGTTTGAGTACTCTGTAGGTAGAACCTTGGCCTAAAAAACTAAATTTTGGAACTAAAATAAATTAAAATTTGATATAAAATGAGATGTCATAATTGAAGATATCACACTTGGTAATTTATTGATTTTTCAGTCAATTATTCCAGTGATCTAATTTTGAATTCTCAATGACACAAGAGTATTATTATATAAAATTCAATTTCATGATTCTGTTGAATACCTAATGACAATCAATTGAACAGACCTTAAGCCGAGCTCTCACAGCGTCGTTCGATGGTCTTAGAACCGTCGTACAACGAATCAAACCTCACTTCCTGTTAGTGCTAGACGACACAATGCCGACTGCTGATGGTCGGTGGCAGTCTAAACGGATCGACATTAAAAATGATCTGTTGCGTGCGCACCATGGGGTTACGTTGTTCATAGAATTGCGTCGGCCGACGACCGTTGTGCGCAGAAAGTGCCCGGCTTCTGTTAAGCCATGAAATCTGTCTTATTGTTTGTTGCCTTCAAAGCTTTATATTAACTGTATTCAAAGGTTAACTTCGATATTAACAAAAAATAATTAATACGCTAAGTGTATATAATTTTGTCAACAATCTTAATTGTCTATTTTTATTTTGAGGATTTGTATGTTTAAATTGTTTAAATTTTTTTCTTTGATGATCATTAGAGCTTTTTTAATGATTGATTTCCAAATGATACATACAGTAACTTTTATTGTGTGATCAGTGTTATAAATTTCTTGTGTCTGTATTTATAATAAGAATGAAGATTGATTTGCAAGATTTGGCATCATGTTTTAACTGTATACAATAGTCTTTTGTAGTATTTATGTTCATTTATGCATGAAGCTGCAAGAACTAGAGGAGCCAAATTTTAATGCTGCTCATAACTTGCAGTTGATGTGTCAATAGAGGGCAGTGTTTTTCTGATGACATTTTTTGACCAACACCGTATGTAGATGTTGGTGACATGTTGTCGTTGCAAGTCTCTATAGTGATTAGGGCCCCTTCAGTGTATTATTGTGATTGGAAAATTGTTGATATGTCGGTTAAGAAACCAAAAAACAAAAAACAAAAAAACAAAGAACTAACCTAGCATTTCCAAGAGGGGTTCTTGATTTTAGACTTTAGATGATCCAAAGAAAACTTGAATATTTGATAAATATGTTTCATTTGCATATGGTTATACATATGTTGTAATAATGATGAATTTTGAGACATTTTAATGTTAATGATATAAGAAATAAGGTTATTCCTGAATTTACCACAATCTCTTAACCCTTCAAGATTGTATAAAGTAAACGAAACTATTTTTGGAATGAAAGTCCAGAACAAGAGGTTTTAACGTCAACTGCTGCAGTTAAGTACTGTATGTGCGGGGTCTTTTTTCTAAATGTTCTAGCACCGTAAAAAAGAAAAAAAGTTTAAAAAAAAAAGTAAACGAGCAAGAACGACTAAAAATACAGACAGTGCTGTTTATTAAACCAATTAATTTAATTAATTTACATCATTCCAAACCCCAAAAAACCACGAAGGAAATATACGATGAACAATATTTTTTTTCTGTACTTGTATGTAGATTTAAACTGTAGAGTGTGTAGTATTTTGCATGTTAGCATTTACTAACAGTTAGAGAATTGTGTCTGGATGATGCCCACCAGTCTGCCTTCTGCAGTCTTTTCTCACTTCTAAATGGTTAGCCATCAATAAACTTGATATGACTATTGGAAAAACCAAGTCATTTAAAATTTCCTTCATTATTTATTTGCTTCTGACTAGGAAACCTATTTGACCAGTACTGATGCAATGATGTTCCGAAAATCTCCACTTAAAAAAAAAACATCCAATGACTTTAGGTAATAAACTGGTTTATTTGAACTTTATCCTGATGTCGTTGACATATATTCACTTTTTTTTTTCTTTCTAATAATATATTACTATAGATGAATTGAGGTAGCGAAGTAGACGTTTGTAGTGTTGAGGTTAGTTGTACATATTAAGAGTGCTAGGAATATTTATTGTTTGCGATTAATAAGCACATAGTGACTGGTCCGCCGTGACAGCAATACACTACAGTGCAAGATACTACTTGCCACATGGGGAACCAGTCAAACATTGTATATTGTAGCAATATTGACACACGATACGAGATGAAATTAAGACTGGAGGTCAATGACGATTATGATTTTATATAAAAAATAACTTTTTCAACAGTATACAGTATGTTTTATGTACATACTATAGTTTTGCAATTTGCTTCAACCTGATTTTGCTAAATAATAACCGTAATTGTAATGTAAAAGATTTATCCACACTATCAAATTAGATGTAACAGAATACCTGTGATGTGGGTGTGTTATGACATCATGATGGCAATATATGGTTGCGATATGGCATCATCCTGCCTATATATGGGTAGATCAGGTATTTGTCACAGAAACGTTAATAGTGTGGATAGAGTATCTGAAGATGATGTTGGGCTAATTAACTTTTTTTTTAAATAAAATTTAATATTTTAATTGCTTCTTAAGTAATTAGAAAACATTTCCCAGGCAATTTAATGGATGCATTAAAATAGTGTCCCTATTGTATCTATTATTTTGCACAGACCTTGGTAATATCATGGTAATATGAAAGATTTTTGTAGTGAAAATTCTGTAAATCTCTGAAAAATGAATTTTTTCAGTTTGTCTTATTAAAAGTTGTTTGATCATTTTAAATTAAAGCATTGTTCACATTATCAAATTTAATGACAATTGTTTGTGATATGCCCATATTTGGGTGTAATATGACATCACAGTTAATATTTGTCTCATAAAATTTGATAGTTTGGCAACGCTAAAGAATTCAATGTTTTAATTGATTTTTCCAAATTTTATCACAGGTAGTACATCTTTAAGACTTTAATCATTTTTAACAGCTTTAAAGATTGAAAATTCGCTAATGAATTTACATGGTGCATGTCATATCCTTTGATACAAAGGTGTGGAAGTGTTGCTTTCATGTAAGCCCATTATTTAATTTGTACCTATTTAATGTCTGCAACAATGGAGAAGTAATCCATGTTGACAACAATACATTTCCTCCACACTTAAATTGTGCTGATCATGTTTCGGTGCTGGATATACCAACCAAGCCATCTTATATGTACTGTACATTTTTCAATATTCAATTTTCATATAAACATTGACAATTTTGTACTCCTATTCATACAAGTTATGTACTGCTTAGTTTTGTACCTGTTAGAAATGCAAGATGTTATGCGACATCACTGGTTCATTATGTTACTATTAAGCAAGTTATTTGATATGATTAAGTATACAATATCTATAAATATTTTGGGTAAGGTTGCATCATGGTTATATCATTCATTTGTACTATGACCTCATTATTTCTAACCAGAAATTATTTGCGCAAATGTTTTCATGAGAACAATTAAAATTTCAAAACCTCCACAAATGTTGAGAGCTAGAGGTGCATTATCTTTGTACTGTATTTATATCAACTGAACTCTATTGGGAATCATGGCAATGATGAATAAGATATTATTTTACAAGCTGCACCATGCCATACATAGAACTCCATTTTGCTGCCGATTATTTGTAATTTTTGGGGAGGTTTAGTACCTAATTGTATTTGTATTAATAGTATTTTATTTGAATATTAATTATTAGGCACTCATATATATTGTAAGATAAAATAGAATTTCTTTTTTTATGTCTATTGTAGAAGATAATACTGATCAGTCTCTTGTACAGCACACTCCGTTATTTAAGCAAAAATCTGTTTTTATGGTAAATGTGGGGAAACGGAAACCTAGTGCAATCGTGCGCGTGTATGATCCTCATGAGCATGTACGATCTTCACGCCGATCTATTTATTAATGCACCTCATGTAAAGGTCTCAGAGTACGTCCTTCCACCATGAGAAAAAAGTAGATCCCCAAAGGTTAAGGTGATGGTGAAAAAGTTTTGAAAAAAAAAAATGAATAAAATATAAAATTAAGTCATTTTGTATTTGTTAATCTTGTTTGAAAGAAATAGGGAGTTTGATGCGTGGCAAATAACTTATTATTGACATCGTTACATTCTAGATTCAACTGTGGCCTGCAATCAAACTCCCCATAAGTAAATTTGAACTTTGACACGAAAAGAAGAGACACATTGTAAAATTAAAAACAACGTATGTATTGACAATTTTCAAGCAGCTAATCTATGACAGTAGGCCTATTTCATTTTTTCCTTACATACGATCACACATGATATAATTTGGTTGAATAAAACTTTCCCCACTTTCAAGTTGAATTGCATATACAGTATTGTCAAATCACTTATACTGGGCCTTGCTGTATACCATTTCATTCAAACATTTTGCAAAATACTGTAAGTCAAATAAATCCATTACCAGTTTATTGATTAACATGATTATACAGTAGTTGGAAGGTAAAACACATTAACAATGACAAAATTTAAACATATCTAATTAGATTCTATGTTTCAGTCTGGAAAAATTGCTTGCATAACTACAAAATTTTAAAAAATTCAGAAAAAATAAAACAGACAAAACATACTATATAACACATTTCAGAAGCCATTTCCAGTGTTGAAAAATAATTAGTAAGCATACTAACACCGAGGACAGCACAAGTTTGAGGAAGCAGTGATGATAATATATCTGAAGGGCATATAAATCAATTTCAGAATCTTACCCATAATATGATCCTTAAAAAATCATATACATAAAGTAACCATAATATTAATTAACATAAACTAAAAGTGGTTCGTAACAACTTATTTTTTCATCGATGCTGAGAATGTAATTATGTACTGTAAATATTACGTGCCTGGTGGGTGTCTTGGAAAAAGAAGTCCAGGTAATATAGATATTTAAGGTTTTTTTTTTAGATAGACTTTGGAAACTTGCAGTAACAGCTTTTTTGTCTTGCATAAGTTTGGAAATGTAAATTTAAATTAAAAACAACCCTGATAACTGATAATTAGCAACAGTAAATATAGGTATAGAAATATAAATATACTATGAAATTGAGGACTTGAATCCAATACAGTAGCAAATGTCTTTTTGTTATCATTTTATAAGACAATTCCAAGCATGACAAATTAAATCTGAATACACCAGGATGGCTGAACTGTAAGTTATTAGAAGGATCTGGGTTTATGTTTCCTACTGGGGACACAAGGCTAAGAACGTATTTTAGCCTTGTCTTATTTATTCCTATTATGATGATAATCAGACTAGTATCACACACACTTGAATATTCCTACTTGTACACAATTGTTCACACAAGTGTCTTAAGCTATGTCAAGATTGTCAAATTTTAATTGACAAAAAAATGTCTGCCCATATATAGTCATATTGTGCCTATATATGGTCATGATGTGATGTCATCATGACCATATTTAGGCATGTCACATGTTTTTGTCAAATAAAATTTGATAGTCTGGAATGGGCATAAAGGGTCTGAACAGATTTTTCTGGGTATTTCACTTGATCACATGTTTCTTTTTTACTAGATCAAATATCAGCCTACTGTAATGTGCTAAGATTGTGAATAATTCCCCACACATAGGCAAATACAGACATATTCCTAATCAATGATTTATCGTTGGGGACCAAACTCATTACCAAATTTATCATTGTATATACACAAATACATTAGGTCTATACTTCAAAGGAATTTAGGTGTATGTAACAACAATTTTCTGATATGTTCATTATATTGTATTTGCCATTGCAAGCCACATAATAGCGAGAAGTGCCAGATGCACTGGTAAATCCCTAGATTCTACCTTTAAATAGGACTGATGTCGCATTGATTTTTGACAATAATATATTAATCATGCGAGTATTATTATAATTCCATGTTATGATAATGACTTGCACACCACATACAGCCTGGTTAAGGTGACGATGCAGCCACTTGCCTCAATCACAAAGGTGCTATCTGTATCCGACAACTTTTTATTTGAATAATGGTTTTAAATTATACTGTTAAATATACACATATTCTATTAAAAACCATTACAAAAAAATGTGCAATCTAATCGGAGTACCAATATTCAAAAGGGAACAGAGTGCATTTAGTAATATTAAATCATTTACACTAAATATACTGAGTATACAAACCATATTACAATGATTTTTGGTTTATTTTAAAAGTTTAATTGACATTAAAACATATTTAAATTGATTGGACATGTATCCAGGTATAAAGAGTACACTAATGTTGTAGGCAGGTATTATAGTGTTACAACCAGAATTTGTTTCACAGTTTAACTTATTCTAATTATACAATAATTCTCAAGCTGGTGGACCTGGATTTAGGCTTTGTTGTCTACGTTTCTGTCTAGTGCATGTCAAACTAAAAAAAACAAACTACAATGCAACTTTATAAAAAAGATTAATAATTTAGGGATCCTTAACTTTATTTATACTTTGTTAATATTTACATGGTTTACTAAGAAAATAAGATTGACAATTTCAATTAAATGATCCCAAATTACAAGTAATGGTTATTTTTTATCGTAATTTTTTTCATTAAACAATTTATTTTGAAACAGTTTCCCCTGTTGACTGAATGGAATGGTCTGTTTCTGCCTTGTTTTACCCCAATTAATACTTTTAGTTCAATTCATGACTATGTTCGCTTCCAAATACAAACCATATTCTTGCTTGTAACTCCTACAATGAAATTTGCATCTGAGCTGATGGCAACGTCGTTGATAATCAAATGTTGATTCTTTGATAAACTCACTGTCCCTGCAGGGATGTCCAACAACTGTATAATGACTGTAAGTATTGTAATGAGATAACAACAGTTTATAAAAACATTTATTTTTTCTTATTTATTTTCTTATTTTATTTTATTCAGATGCATAACTGGAAGAACCTATGTAGTATCAATAAAGTGTTCTCTCATATTTTATAAACAAGGCTTGGGAGTGTAAAGTCCCATCAAAATGACAAAGAATCATAAAAAGTAAATTTAGTAAATTTTGAAATTAACTTGCTCATATTGCAGTAACATATAAATTATTACTGAATTAAAAAATTGTGCATCCTGATTTTTTTTTATATTGGATAAATAATTATAAAACACTTCCAGTGACTGGAAGTGTTTTTATCATATTTTCACTGTAAAATTAAAGGGTAAATATTTTTTAAATACACTAATCTGTATGTTCAAGTTGATAATTTTAACAACTGAGGTATAGCTCCATTACAGATATAAAAACAACAAAGAAGAAACAAGGATGAAACTTCATGTTTTGTGTATACTGTAATTGTTTCCCTTCAAAATGTTTCCATCCATTACTGTATGCTTATCGTTGGCTAGTCTACTACCTCCTGCTTCAAAATAAAATACATCAATAATTATCATTATAAATTAAAATACAGAACATACACTTGAAACACAGAATTTACCTGCAAGGGATTTGGATCCAATTCTTTCTTGTTTGCACCTTTTTTCACATCTTTGACTTCATACAGCCAGACTGGTCCATTTGCATCGCCACACACGATATGCCCACAACCTATCAAACAACACAACCAAATGAAAATACAGTAGAACCCCTTCATTTGGGATACCCCTATTCAGGGGTTTACCCTAAATAAGGGTTCTAATCTACAACATGCTAGCTTGATTCAAGAATGATTGGCTTCCAATTGATATAATTAATGTAAATATTACATGCTTCCTCCGAGTAAACAAAGTTACAAAAAAAAAAAGACACACATTATAACATAAACAGGAAAAAAATACAGAATAAATATTTTGAATGCTTCTCATCATCACTATGTTAACATCCAGTCAACAACCAAGACATACAAACAAAAAAAATTGTAAAATAAGCTACTAATAGAACATAGCAACGTACAATCAACATTGTTGACCTTTTGCTTAGTGGGCTTATAATTATGAATAACATGTTATTTTCTATAATGATTATTCAAGAAAAATTGGAAGATTTATCACCTGGCCAGGTATTTAGTAGTATATAGATGTTGTCAGTGGTGGACCAATTGAGGCTATGCAGAGGGTTAATTTCAATGTCTTTCTTTCGGGCTTGCTGCTTTTCTCGCGCTTCTGACAAACTCCAAATCTGAATTGTCTTGTCAGCCGCAACTTTACTAACTACAAGAATAAGAATAGAAAAAATCCATTGCATAACATTGACACAAAACTGTTTAAATCTTTACATAATTATTTTAAAGGTATACTTTATGTGTTAAGGTAACAAATTTAGGAAAAAAACCCCAATATTTATTTGAAATATTTTTTTTACAATTACATTAAAGTTATAAGTACTTACCTGAAAATTAGTACGAGAAAAAATGCATGAAAAATACTGTTATAATATTCTGTACATTGATCCATAAATTAGCAGGTAATAGTCTGTAAATCATAACATTAAAAAAAATATATTTTAGAATTGGGACATACCGATAATGTCATCATCAATGGCAGCCATACCGTCAATGGTATCACCCTCATCGTCGTCTTCATTATCCTCACTACGTGCAACGCTTGGCAACAAAAACTCCAAAGTATGTGACCTTTATTCAAATATAAACAAGAGATTCGAGATGGAGACATTAGAAGCTCCGATAGAGAAAATGTGATACAGGTACCAACTGTACCTTCTAAAGGTAACAGGAGAAAGTATGCCAGTTATAAATTCTACATGTCAAAGTTCAAAGTTTACCTTTCTTTTTTGCTTGATTTGTTTTGTAGATTCCAACCATAACATCCATTTTCACAGCCTGCAATGACATAGTCATTTGGTGGGGAGTACACAATCCCAAGAACTCTTCCAGTGCCCGGAGGAAGAAACGAGTACAATTTTCTATCGAGAACAAAATATTGATATAAACTATATTTTACGTCCTGGAGAACGACATCAAACTACCATCTGAGATGAAGAGACAACTTTACAAGTGTTAAGTCACCCACTTTTGGATAGAAATGAAATACAACTAAAAATGCAGTTCTTTGGTTGAAGCTGGCTACAATGCTCATTGGATAGAGTAATTAAATGATACTTACACCCATTTACATTTGTAATCTGGACCAGAGGGGATGCCAATATCCCAGAGTACAACATCCTCAGCTCCACCTGAAAACAAAGGCAGATAAATCATAGTTATAAGAAACGTTCCGATAAGTATGTAAATAATTCTGGTTTATTTGCCCCAGAAAAACAAAATGATGGCACCACCTACATCCAGCTGTAAAAATATATTTAGACAGGTGCGAAATTGTTGTCAAAACATCCAAGAAAATACAGAGTAAATTAAAAAATGCATTCTTTTAAAGTCAACCCATGGTACTTATTACTTAATGTATGCAAGTTTCCATATACAATCAACATTCAAAGAAAACCAAAGAGTAGTTTCACACAGAATTGATATAAAAACACTGCTTACTGAAAAGCCATGTGGGTTTTTCCGAGTGAAATACCAATGTGTTTATCGAGCACGTCTTGCGTGCATTTCTCAACTGAGCGTAACAAATCAATTGCTCTGGGTGCAGGAGCTTCACGTCCCCACGTGCACCTCCAATAGCCAATATGTTGCTTTTACGTGCACCCTTCGAGTCGCCAACCTCCATTTCTAATGTTGTCCATGCTAGGCAGTAAAATTCCTACAAAAAAAAAGAAGAGAAAACACATTCATATAATATAATCATAGTAACATGTCTTGCGCAGCACATCAAATGAAGACACTATGTGCTTCACATTATTACTGAAGTTCTTCAGGTATAAGCCCACATCCAGTATAATACCCATCCATTAGGCCTAACAATAGACTGACAAAATTTAAAGTTAATGATGGGTTTGATCCCCAACCTCACGGTTCAAACTGCTGCACCACAGTATTTTACTATATTCAGTAAGTCATTCCATTGAAGTTTTAGGGGCAGGTTCATTTGCAGTGAATTTAATTCAATGTCATATTCAAGACTATAAGACTTGCCTCCTCGACATTTTCATGCTTGTAACGTTTCATTACTTTCCCTGTCTTGCAATCAATCAGGCAAACAGAGTTTCCACCACAAGTTGCAACAGTTGATGTACTATTTTCTGCAGAAAACAATACAGAATATATCATCATTATAGCATATATTTCAGTAATATCATAGTCAAATAAAAACATTAAATATGTAAATAAATATAATAGTAAACTTATATTATTCACAATATAATTTGTCATTTAAGTCAACTTATAAGCAGAGATTTTACCTATGTTAGTTACTGTGGGAAAAATCCCTATCCTAAATTGTAGTAATCTTGTAAGTTATATTTTCCTTCTTCCAAATATTGCCTTGCTATTATAATTACATTAATTTATCAATTTTTGTTGGTAAATATATTAATGCACCTATTTCTAATGTGCCCAGGATTAAAGAAAACACTTGGACAGCATTACTGGCTTGTCATGGAATAATGACATTATTTAATAATAATAATAATAATAATAATAATAATAATAATAATAATAATAATAGATGTATTTTTATAGTTCAAATAAATGAGGTCTCTACTGAAGCAAGATTAACAATGCAAGATATTCATAAAGCCAGAATATATACACGATGATATATTCTGTTAGATGTTTGTTCAGACTGCATGGTTAGAGTTGGGGTATGCGGGTCACTAATACCTTAGTGGAGTAACATCCCTACCCCATGATGCATAGTTTGGTTAGGGTTCTTTGATAATGGTGAGAGAACTTTACTTTACATGTACCAACAAATTTCCTCTTGGATGGAATAAAATGTATCATATTGTATCGTATGAAGTAGAGTAGATTAAGACTTCCTAAAAAGGCCATGGATTTGATTAAAAATGACTGACGAAAACAAGCACACTATTCAGGTCTATTATTAGACTGACAGGTAGTGGACGCTTGGCGTAAGGCTTACTTGGGTTAGCTGGATCTGGTTCAAACGCACATTTCCAAACATTCCTACTATCATCACTCGGATTGTTCTCCAGAGAATGACAACGAAGGAAATGAACACCCTCAAACTTTGGATTCTCTTTCTGTTAAGAAATAAATATGTAAAATAACATTACACTACAACAACATTAATGCAACAAACAATCATTTTTATTTTCATTGGGGCTTGCCATGCAAGACCAGCATCAGTCACCAAACAAAAAAATTGACTTTGTACCTTAATTATTTTCTCTACATTATAAGCTATAAAATGATGGGTCATTTACTGGAATCCACTTAATAAATGCCTAAGTTATGAGTAAAAGTATTACGGCTTGTGTGTACTTATAGCATACAATACTGTCACATTCTTATGCTAAATATTCAGTTTAAGATTTAGTGCCAGTACGATTGTGTTGACAAGGCAAGCCTCAATTAGGGTTAATGCAGATAGCAAGTAAACAATTATAATTACTATTTACTAAGTCATATTTACAAATTATCCCATCCAAATCAATACAAACACAAGTATGGTAACTGACACTGCACTTTACCTTACTCAGTGTTACATCACGTTTTGGTGGCATCCATGGCTGTGGTGTATCATCTTTTTTCTTTTTCACTAGTGGTGTTTTCTTTTGCTTTGCATCTTTAGCCTTTGCCGGTGTCTCCTTTACTTTTGCATCTTTAACCTTTGCATCCTTTGCTGGTGTTTCCCCAATGGGATGTTTTCTAGGCCTACCTCTGCCCCTTTTCTCTGGCTGTGGTGTAACAGTTTCTGCCTCTTTCACAGTCTTTTTAGCTGGTGTTTTGGTTTCTGTTTTCTCAGTCTTTTTTACTTGTGTTTTGTTTTCTGTTTTCTTAGCTGGCGTCTTATTCTCTGCTGGCTTACTTTTTTCTGCTGTCTTTTTGGCTGGTTTAGAAGTTGTAGCTTCTGATGTAGAGTCTTGGTTACCCTCTGTTGACATATCTGCATCTGTGTTTACACCATCATCTGCAGTTTCACTCTTTATGGAAAGACACTCTTTAGAAGCAGTCTCTTCTGGTGTACTCTCTACTGGTGCATCAGTCTTTGTGGTTTCTGCTTCAGTTTCCTGGTCAGTTGATGTCTCACCATTAGGCACCGTTTCCGGTGCTTCTGATGCTTGGGTGGTATCCATATTTTCTATTTTAACATTCTCTTTATCATCAACTTTAGGCTTCTTTGGAGAAGGTTCAGAATGAATCACTATATCTCGTTGCTGTTCTCCGTTCGGTGACACGTCTACAACTCTGATGACCTCGGTGGCAGTTTTCTCTTCTGAAAACGGTCTCTTTTCCGTTTGGTTGGATGTTTGTTCTTCAGGAGGTGCAGTGTACTTTGCTTTTTCCAGCAGAGGCTTTCGAACAATTCCAAATACCTGAGTAATTTGTCTTTCAGCTAATACAGTTAGCTACAAAACAATCAAATGAATCAATGTCACAACAAACCTAGTTTATAATATAGCATTCAATGTATCTGTTAGCAAATGCACATATAGTATATGTTCACTGAGTATAATGTACAATTAATATATGGGCATACATGGTACATTTACTATGTAAACACAGACAAAAAACTATGCATTAATCAGTGAATATTGAGTAATTAATAAATGAATATGGCAATACAAGAACTTGTCCCATATGTTGGAGTTGGATGGCCGAACGCTTAAGATAGGAGTGCCATAACATACAGCTATAATACTGGCACTGTATCGAACAACATGCTCGCCTGTGGTTCTGATGGTGGAATTATTCTGCTCGGATAAGGATTATAAACTGTAGGCCCGGTGTACATAATTTGGCTCAAGTGCATTTTAAAGAACCCAGTACATCTTTTGTGATGCGTAGGGGGGATACCCTGGTATACTGGCCCATTTAGTCTCTGTTGTGGACAGATGAGAGTAGCTAATACTTTACCAGGTAGCTCAGACACGAAGAGACCCTTGGGGAGGAGCAGCTACTCTTAGAGCTAGTCCACACCTTGAGCGCTTTGAGACTGTTTCAATACAAAGCTTTATATAAATCTAACTATTTTACATGTATTCATATTTTCTTTGTCACTTTTAATGAGATTTGAAAACTTACCATATAATGCGTGAATTCCATGAGAGCATCAGCACCGAACTGCACTCGTTCCTTGAGCCGTTCAATAAAGGTTTGTTCAAGCGCTAGAATGTCCGACTTTTCCGTCATACCAATAGCATGACCCGCAAACTCTTCTTCCCAAACACTAACAACCTTTAAAATTTAATCACATAAAAAAAATTAATAAATTTCAGATCACAAGTAGTAATGTGTTTTAAATTAACATACTTTAACCTAGAGGATTTAAATAAAAATCACAAAAAGACAATTTAAAATATTTACATTTTACTGGAGGGAGTGTTGGTATAAAAAATTAAACCAAGAAATTGAGATAAGAAATTATAATGTTAATTATCATAATCTAACTGAAACAAACTCATCAACTTGGGATACAATATGTGAAGGTCTATACACATAGTTCTAGGAAGAGCAATCTTAGAAAGCTGTGAACACCAAATTCTACAGAATCTGAATGCAAGAGCATCATATCCATTAAGCTACAGCTTAAGTTAGTAATAATAAAATATATTGTGTTTTTCTAAATTAAAGCATGAAATTTTAATTTGATAAAAAATAATAATAGCATACTGGTACAGCACAAAAACAGTACTAGGAATCTGTTGCTTACCTTGGTTGCTAACTCGGCTTCCATGTTGTCAATGGTGCCACGGAAGTCAATGTCCTGGCCATTCAGAGTCATCAGCTTGGGCAACATGTAAACAGCAATATAGTGATCTGATGTCTGTTAATCAAAAAAATACCACAATGTAGTTATTTGCAAACATCATCATCATTCAAAAAGTATATAATAAAAAAGTACAGTATAATAAAGGCCTTTTTTTATAATTTATAATATTATGCATAATGTGCTGGTAGCCATTAAAGATGCTTATTCATGTTACATACATCTCAAAATCTAAAAAATAAACAATGCAATCAAGGATAGAAAGTCTATGATATTTTGTGGCAGCTCATTTTGAGCTTGGGATCCACTACATATTAGATATTGTACTGGAATGAATCAGGCTATTTTCTCTTGGAGTATAAACTTTGTATTGAAAGCCCTGGGATAAACACTATGAATTGATGATATAAGTAGTGAACTCACTGCTAGATCATTATCTCTGAGGTCCAACTCTTCAACCTCAAGGAACTGCTCAAGGGTCAGTACTGAGGTCAGCTTATTCTTGCTGATGTCCAACTTGCGCAGTTTTCTCAAACCGAGGTTATAGTCAAATCCAGAAATCTTGTTGTTCGAGACATTTAGGGTCTCCAGATCATGCATACGACAAAACACGGCTGGGTCGAGCGTGGCTATTTTTCGCCCTGAGAGATCGAGGTTGCGAATCTCCTGCAGTGTCATGCAGTTCGCACACTGTAGTACCATACGCTCCACTAGCGCCGTGCTGGATATAAACGGACCTTTCCCGAAAGACCCATAGGTAGACATTTTAAACAATTTCTGAAAAAAAAAAGAATATAAAAAATATCAGCAATGGTTATAATTTTGAATTATATAAAATTACACCTTGATTAATTACACTATGTATTCCCCCAATAGTATTCCTATGACAAAAAATAAATAATAAATATATCTACAGTATAACTCTTGAGTTTTCCAATTCAATAGTAATGCTCTAGGAAACAACAAACAAAGGAAAATACTTAACGATACAAATAGCACTTAAGTATTCTATTATTTTATGTTAACACCCAGCTGAATAAGAAAAAAAAAAACAATCTATTTTTAAAAGAGCATTTGTCCCATTATTAATGGCTTTAGAAACCTATAGGACTATACTGTAAAAAAAACAAATGTAACTAAATTATCAGACAGAATATATAACCCATAAAATGTTGTGCCAGCATCATTTTTAAATTACATTTTAATAAAACAAATTACATGTAACAAGGTGTGTATGCTAGTCCATATTATTATTAACATACAGTAATATAAGTGCATATAAACTCCTGCATTTAATGTACTGTATAATAAATGCAACATTATTATTATTATAAATCATCCCAAACATTATTGACATGCCTAGTACAATTTCAAGCTGGCAACATTTATTTATGATTGTATCATATATTTACCATACTGTAAAGTTTTTTAATTACATGGCTGATACCTCAAAAACCAGCTCAAATTTACACAGACAATTGTTAAGAAACTAGGTGCGCAGAATCGTATCGTTATTATTGAGATCACTCGGCAACAGATGTCTTTGATGCGACAAACCAATGTGTTCCTCACCTTTGAAACACGCACAGGCATCTGTCGTATTACTAACATTTTTTGTTGGCAACAACAGGCTTTTATACGCTTAAACACTGCAGTTGTGCAATAAACCCTTTGATGATAACTCATTAAATATTTTAAAATTAACAATGTTTCCCTGATTGGATTTTTTGGATTTTAGTACGTATTTACATGTATATTTCAGGAACAAATTCCGCAAAATATTTCTGTTGCAATTAGTTCTGTATTCATTATAAAGTTGTCCAAAGATTGACTGATTTGACTATAGAGTGAGGCAGCGTAAAACTGAAAATTACTCTGACTTTTGATTGAATTTTCGAATGGTCCACTCTTGTTCACCCTAAATTGAATTTAGTTTATTATAATCCTCAATCATTCCTTAATTAATATAGTATCTCTGTTAAAATTATAATTATCAAGTTTAATCCAATTTATGGAAATTCAAGTTGAAATATACCATGCTTTTAAAGCTCATGTAAATGTTTCGTTAAATTCAAAACTTCTTTTTTAGAAAATATTAACATGTTTGGTATTTCTTGAAAGATAAATGTATTAGCTTCAAGATGGAAACAACTGCGCAGCCATAGTGACTGACTAAGAAGTGCGAATTAAGAAAAGAAGGTGCTCTCCATTTTGCCATATTCAATTTTTTGGTAAACTAAGCCTGTTGATCATCTGGTGGCGGGGAACACATTAGACTTCAAAGGCATCGCGTAAACATCCATCACACGCTGCGGCAGCTTCGTCAGCAGAATCTACTCAGAAATCAGCCCTCATCTTTCGAAATGCGAGGACGGATTTCTAGGCCAAATTTTTGCGTGGTAAATATATCCAGCAGGCCTTACTAATCCATACAGTCTGGTATATTTATCAATTTTCCCACTTCCCATAAAAAGTGAATAAAAAACATCACATTATGTAGGCCCATACGTGCCATGTTGTAATGTTAATAATTCAACTAACTCCAACTTGATTCATTTACGTAGCAAATCAAATGCTAAAGGATATGGAAAAAAATTGAAACTGGTATACAATAATAACACTGACACTAACATTCTGTGTATAAAAGAATCAGAATAATAAAGCTAAGCACCCACTGACTGGGTTGGTGTTGTTTGTAGCCCTGGCTGGTTTGAGGAGAGGAGGTTTCAGGCCTCAATCAACCAGTATTCAGGAAGACAATGAGGCAGTGTTGGACGATGACATGAACAAATTAAACCATGTTCAACAGTTAGATGACTCGATAACTAATTCTGTAAGTTAAATTCATTCTGTAGTATATCAAACAAAAAATTGTCGCCAAATTCGGCATTTGGTACCACTTGCTAAACTACATTTTCGTCACCGGCCAAACAGCGCCCTCATCAAGGCTTGGTGTTTCCAATAAAATTCTCGTGGCTATAATAAAACTGCACAAAATACGGATAATGAATGTACATCGAATAAAAATATTAGATAGGACTAAACTCTACTAATAATAACTATACAATAATATCAGTAACTTACAATATTACACTAGTAATGGGTTGAAAACAACAAAAATATATGCACTAATATACGGACGCGACGCGTCGAATTTCCTTCCCGCTCTCACAATGGCACACAAAGCTGCTTAAAAAGTCACCAATGAGGGCGCTAATCTCTAGCCCTCTAGTGATGAACTTCTGTAAAGTAATTAGGCTCTGTTTTTCTTCTCGTCGTCGTTGTTTTTTTTTTCTTAAAAAGTTGGTGCTTCGTCGATCGTGTGCACGCTGGAGTCCCATCACCGCTAAGTTTTCATGTTGATTGTTGAATTTTATTATTGTTGGTAATATATCCAGGTAAGTATTATCAATAATGTGACAACCAACTTTAAAAAAATATAGTATAGGCCTAGGCTAGATGACATGGGCTAAGGTCTACCCTTCTTTTTCTCGGCTAGCTAATCCATTCCCAGTCCCCCTACTAGCTACTACTAGCTAGGCCTAGGCCTACTAGCTTAGCTAGGCTAACTAAGCCTTGCTTGGCCCTAGCTATTAAAAAGAATTGCTAGGCCTAGCTATTATAGGCCTTGGTCCTACCTAGGTAGTGGGGGGGGGGGGACATTTAAGTAGGTTACTTTAGTCATACTGTTAATAATATACCTGCCAACTTTATTGGCATCTGTGATGCATGCGAGACAAAAAAAAAAACATTTGTGTAGAGCGACGGCTATGCAGCAATGAATGCTTTTTTTTATTGTAATGTTGGGAACTGCTTCACTGATTAAAGCTTTGTGAAAAGAAATTTATATGGTCTGTATTCACTTCATTTTCATATATAAATTTTAGGGCACAATCGACCTATTTTATCTTTTTATTTTTATGATGCGCGAGATAATACTATGTAGAGTAGGCATGAGATGCGAAAAGTGGATGCCCATGTGTGAGACTCTTGCATTATGTGTGAGAGTTTGCAGGCGTACACTGTAAAGTATTTTTTATTTGCAAAGATGATATTTCGAATAGGTGTGCAGAATCGTAACTACTGTTAAATACATTGGTACAAGGCCTGAATTTTTACAAAAATTCCATGTAAATATATTCTGAAATACACGGATGGACTTCTGTCCTAATTTATATCTCCCATGCAATCATGAATAGCTTGGTCAACTTCTGAACTGCTTTTATTTACACACTTTTAAATTTTGACACCATGCTTTATTCATTTTGTTTTTTAATTACTTTTTGTTGAATTCATCTTAGATTTGCTATCATCATGGAAGGTAGTAGTTCAGAGGTCAGATGTGGGTGTAAAGGAGTGCGTGTATGTTTACTATGTGAAGCTGAGAAACAGCAAATCAAGACCCAAAGCCTGCATTCTATTGCTACCAATTATGAGGTATAATTGTACATTTTTATTGGTGAGAAACTGCCTGTGTTAAATTAAAATAATAAGTTTCAGTGCTCTTAAATTTCTTTTATTATGTAAATATTATTAGAATCAAATTAATACCCAGATCAGAACGATTCTGTTTTTAATGATTTACAGATCTTTGATTAATAGTATTGTCAGTCAATTTTAACGAGTCTGAAATTTTTGGAAAAACCTTATTATGTATCTGTACTGTAAAAATAAAACTATTCTGAACTCTCTAATTTTTTAAAAAACAATGTATAGTCTCATAAAAATATGGAAGGAAATAAATATCAAAGGAAACATGTTTTTATTATATTTTAATTTTTAATTGAAAACTGATAACTTATTTTAATATGAAAAGTAAGCTATTCAAACATGAATTATTATATTATATATTTTTGTGATTTTTCCTGTGGTTGTAGGGAATATTAGCTATGTAAACATGTTCATTTTTCCCGTTAAATTTTTAGGAGTATGTATATTGTGAGGACTGCCTTAAAGCATGGGCCTTATCTTCAGAGCTGATTCAACATCCAAACCACCAAGGAAAAGTCTTAGATTTCCCTGGTGTCTGCATTATTTCAGAATTTATAACAGCAGAAGAAGAGAAAAACATAGTTCATGAAATCGACAGTACAAAATGGAAGGAATCTCAGTCTGGAAGATTAAAACAGGTAATAATAATAAGTAATAATAAATAAGATTTCTATAGTGCTCATATTCATTTTAAAGAAATGCTTAATACGCTTGAGAAAATAAACAGCGGAGAAAGAAATAATTCTGGTGATAAACATTTATGTTGGTGGTACAACCACAGATAAGATCTGTGGTACAACAATTATTTCTGGGTTCTATATTAGGCCTAACAGTTATAGGCCTAATATAGCAGGTACACTAACCCTACCAGGTTATATAAAAAAAAAATAATATTAGTTGTACCAAATGATTAGCAAAGGCATATATAAATTAATGATAATTATTTATTAAACATGTTTTGTTATAAATAAAAAATTCTTAAATTCTGGTGATAAACATTTATGTTGGTGGTACAACCACAGATAAGATCTGTGGTACAACAATTATTTCTGGGTTCTATATTAGGCCTATTAGTTATAGGCCTAATAGCAGGTACACTAACCCTACCAGGTTATATAAAAAAAATAATATTAGGTGTACCAAATGATTAGCAAAGGCATATACAAATTATAATAATTATTTATTAAACATGTTTTGTTATAATCAATTATCAGGCAATGCAGGGCAGCATGTGCAACTTCGCGTTAATTATTGTTTTAACAACAGGTCTGGTATGATCCAATTACATTAACGTCCGGGAGTCTTATTTTTAACCATTTTTCGTTAGAATCAGCAGGCTTTTCAATGCAGCATTTCTGAGATGTGATATAATAAAGCATTGGATATTAACTCATTAAATACCTTTAAAATTAACAATGTTCCCCTAATTAGATTTCTTGGGACCTTATATGTTTTTATGAGTATATTTCAGAAACAGATTCCACAAAAGTTATTTCTGTTGTAATTAGTTCTGGGTTATGTCAAAGAGCATAGAACTGCAAGAGATCTGACTATTGTGGTTTCATTGGAAGCTAATCCTATTTCAAGGGGCATGTCCTTCAAAAGACAAGTTTTTAGCGAACTCTATTTGAATTCTAATAGGGCGCCCTCTATTTTGTGGTAGCACTTTTTTTAACAATTCATTGTATACAGTACATACAAAATGAGGGTGGATAGACTTAGATTAAGGGTTTTTTCTTTTTATCATCTGCAGGATTATGGTCCAAAGGTGAATTTCAAAAGGAAGAAGGTGAAGATGCAGCAGTTCACAGGTTTGCCTCATTTCAGCTGTGCTTTGTACAACCGTATGATTTTGTTAGATGAACTGAAAAACTTTGTCCCTGTTGAACTTTGCAACCTTGACTATAATCCCTCCAGAGGATCGGCCATAGATCCCCATTTTGATGATTTCTGGTTGTGGGGTGAACGTCTAGTGACATTAAATCTACTCTCTGATTCCTACCTTGCTATGACTAGTGACAAAGTTACAGGTGAACAAAGCATATTGGTGAGAGTGCCACTACCTCGCAGGAGTTTGGTCATCCTTCAGGGTGATGCCCGACATGTATGGAAACATTCAGTACCACGTAGCGCAATTGTTGCACGCCGAATAGCAATCACGCTCAGAGAGCTTTCGGATGAGTTTCAAGCCGGTGGACGTCTTTCTGAGCAGGGTAATGAATTAATAGAACGTGCTTTAACATTTAAAGGTACTGCTGTTAAATAGTTATAAGTTTATTTTCTTATAATTATTTTTATAGAAATTCATAGCACTTTTTTCACTTTGGTAACAACATCCTTGTTAATATCTAAATTGGGCGCTTTCTTAAATTTTTCCTCCTCCATTGAGAAAAAGAAATATGACCAACAGATGTCATCTGAGTCTTCTATTAACAAACATCTTGTTCTCTAGTAGATTCAAGAGAGAGGGGCCTGACTGTAGTCTAGCTATGTCTGTGCTAGTCTAGGCCTAGACGAAATAATTAGGCCTAGCTTATATCATGCCTTGTACCAAGGTGTACGTTTGTTTTTACCTGATCGATTTCTAAAACATGCCATTTATTGCTGATGTTTTTGAGGCTATCAGTATTAATATATTCAGTATACAATGGGTATAAATGACGTAAAGCATGCGTGGTGACATAAAGAAGCTGTAAGGCAGACTGTTTCTTTTACGGCCTGACGCGATATTTCTTAAATCTGAGTACTGCTTAGTCAAGTACTACCTTAAGGGTGACATTCAGTTGGTGGGGCGTACGGCGAAGAAAACATTGAAATTTGAAAACGCGTAAAAGATGAACGAGGACGAAAAATGAAAATATGTTTTTTTGTTTTTTGGATTTTCAGTTATTAAAAATTTGAATGAGAACAAATTTTTGGACAGTTAAATAATAACTTTCCTGTATTCGCTTGCATTCAGTTTATCCTATTGGCTGCTAGTCAATTTAAGGATTTGTGTACTGTATAATGTCTGTAAATCTGAAAACTTGTTTTTCAAACTATTTCTCATTGAAAGCTAATTTCAAATTATATTTGAATTTTTAAGGTACAGTGCCTTTTTTGTGACCTTGTAAATTAACTTTGTAAATATTCTAAAGTAGGATGTGCTAGATTGAAATTTTGTCGATTTTGAGAAAATATCATTTGTGAGTATAATAGACTCTTCTGAATTACTTGTGAAAATTTCAGGTCTCAACAATGAGTTGTTTCGGAGATAGCACTACCTATCATTAAGCACAAAACTTACAATGTAGTGATTTTATTATGTGGTAAAAATATGTAACTGCAAGATTACGGGGGAAAACAATGTATCTACGATGAAGATACATTGCTTTGCCTCGGAATGGTAATCAAAAATTCTAATGTTAGCAACTCTAGTTACTTTTTAATTCTAGTTCCTGCAGTTGTAAAGCTTCTTTCCTTTCCAAAGCTTTGGCTCTACATTTTAGTTTAAAAATTTAAGATTATGCAAAGGTAAGCTCGCAGTCGATGCCAACGGAGGTGACAGGTTCTCGTTCTGACAGGATTCTACAGGGGTTCAGCTGACTTTAGAGGTCCTCTTGCATACTCCACAAGGGGTTATCTCTCTTCCACCACTCATAATTAACTTATTGGATGGTTGCCTTGAAAGGCATAGGCATATCTGGGGCCTTAAAGTATGTCTCTGCTTCAGCATTAGGCACCAAGTCCTTTAACATCTTCTTCTGTTTGTCGGTCAAAACGTTGGTGCGTTGCACTTTCCACCACTCCAGTACCTCGGTACTATAGGGAATGCCCTCAAGCTTAAGTTGAGGGTTCCTGGGTGCTAATGCTGGCTTATATGGCTGTTGATCTTTGGGCGTTTCAAACTTCCCTTCCTCAGGCTCTGCCATGATCGACATTACGTCATCCTCTGATACATGTCGCCTACGAGACCTCGGCCTCTTGTCGCTATCTGATGAGCTAAATGAGCGATTCTTGCCTACCTCGACTACCTCATTGTGACGAGTCTTGTCGAGACCGTCTACCCTGTGTATGAGAGAAAGACCTTGAGCATGATCGTGAATGGTGCCCCATGTTCATGAGGGTATCGTTTAGCCTGTCTAGTCTTACATCCAGCATCGCCTCCTAATGATTCGAAACCGAAAGAGGACGCAGTATAACTGTGTTTCCTCACAAAAGAAACACGCCAAGTAAATTCTGGATTCAAAATTGTGTGATTTTCCAGGCCTAGCAGGTAATGGGGAGTTCTGTCCACCAGTCAGCATGATTCGCCGATGCAGGTTATTCCCCATTTCGGGTTTAAATGGACTTCTTTATCTGCCATTATCGGCTTCTCTATGTTACGTAGATTCTATTTTGCACTTTTAAGTGTCTTATTAATCTTGTGAAAACAGCAATTTCGTGACTTTGGTCACCGAATATTACTTAGCACGCACATATCGCATTGATTATGACTACGCATGCGCAACTGGACTCTCATGGAATCTCGAGCAAGTTTCAAAATAAACTGATTATATAAATTTAAATAAAAATATAATTTTACTTTTGGCCAATTAGTGCACCGCCACCACAAAAAAATGGAAATTTCTGAAAAAAATTAAAGTTTTTCTTTATTTTTATTACGTCTGCATTACATGACAACTGTAAACTCAACAGTAGTGTACTTGAGAAGGACCACTAAAAATAAAATGAAAGACTACTAAAAATAAAATGTGCAATTAACATAATTATATAAAAATCTATTTTTAATCAAAAGTTCTAAGTCAAGATATTAATGTGAATGTACATATGAATAATTTGAAGAAATGTATAAATTCTGTAACATATTGTATTTTACTGTTATTTATAATCATAGTGTTTTGTATATTGGAAGTACAGAAATAAATTCAATTTGACAACAATAACTTCTGTTTTTATATTTATTTGTATGCTTGTTAAAAACAATGAAGGTTTTACAATTAACTCAAATAATAACTCGTATCATGAATAATGGATCCAAATGCTTGATAGGATATTCATGGATTGTTAGCAAATTCATGAATAAACATTGTATCACTAGGCATACGTACTAATGACAGTATGTAAGCTGACGTCGCTTTAATTTGTTAAATTTTTAGTTTTTATTAGCTTACTTACTGATGATGACTGTGTGATAAAGCTGAAACCTGTTGATTAAATCTTGGTTTATTGCTTTAAAATTTGTATTGTTTAGTATATCCTGTCGATCGGTTTAGTATATCCTGTCGATCGGTTATTCATGATTTCAGTTACAACAGTTATGTTAGTAACTTTAGTAAGGATGAATATAGAAGACTGGAGAAACTTCTCAAAAATGCAGCAAAGCTAAAGCTGATCTCAATTTCTTGAACATTTGTATATATTTTCTTCATATAAATTGCATAAATATTAAGGTTAAAATGTATGTGTTGCCGATGCCAGACCAAACAAAAACCTCAAACATCTGGGGTCAGTTTTATTAGAAGTAGCCCAAAGTATGTTTCAATTTTTGAGCTGTAAAAAATTGGTAACAAACCTGAATTTTAGCCCTCTGGTTGGCTGACTGAACCCTGAAATTATTATTATTATTATTAATGGGAAAAAAATTGCAGACCAACTGCCAGTGTGTATGGGCAACACAACAATTTTCTTTCTTATTTACTTGTTTATAATAGGGATAATAAAAATAACAAGATATACAGTACAAAAATACAACCATATTTTTGTATTACAAACAACTATATTAAGTACAATATATTTTATAGCAACATCTGTAGTGCAAGAATTCTACAGACTAATAATATATTTAAATATAAATTACAATAAAATACAAAATACGAGGTAGACTATAGATAAGTTAATAGTTTGGATTTTCAATGTCCGTGGGCCTCTCGCCAAATAATGATTCCTCCCATTCAGACAGCTGTTTGACAAATGTACGGTGAGGGCGTATGTTGTGTTTGCAGTCACCCACATGTGTATAAGCATCCTAGGGAGAAAAAATTACATTAAATTTCATTATAATGCATAAGAGATGGATAAAATAATACCCTGTTTACACGGATTACTTTGATTGCTGAAACAGGAAAGTGTAAAAAAAGACGCCCCCCACAACCAAACTTGACACAGTTTTACTTTTAGTTACCGTATCACTGTACTACATACAGACTCGAATGCATGTCGACCTGAATGGTGTCAGATACAGAATAAAACTGAAAAAAATTCTCATCACAAATTATATATGCTGTGTGTGAATAGTCCAGTTGTTTGCAATCAGCATAATTTTCACGATCAGAATTGGGGTCAGGATTGCAACAATCCAAGTGAACAGATTTAAGCTACATGAACCTTTCCACTAAGCCCCACCCCTTGAATTTTGTTTCTAAGTTCCCACAAATCGACACTGTAAAAGCATATGCACACACATGCACTTGCGGGGCAACATGTGTGTTTGTACGACAACAGCATTTTCCTAGTACTGTTCTGATTGGTCGGTTAAGGTTGACTGACACTCTGGGATGGTCCATTATCCCCACATTACAGTTTACTATCATACATTTTAATAAACAATCAAAAAGTCCACCTTACCTGTAACGTCCACTTGTAGAAGTTCATGAGGTACGCAAGAACAATACTAACACATCGACTAATTCCAAGTTTACTGAAAACTAAAACAGGCTTGTTTTCTTCAAGTTTTGTACCTGGGGATGGGGAAGGAAAGAGAGTTCAGAGATTGTTGACTTATACCCCATACTTATATTTCATATACACAGTAGTCAAGTTGGATAATACCTCACTGCACCTGATTTTTAAATATAAATTTTATCAATATAATAATATTATCTTATAATAATAATAATAATAATAATAACATTATTAATAGCATTATTATGGGAATTATGTTGCTAGAAGTTCCATAATATTGTCAATATATAAATAAAGTATCAATAATTCCTTTAAAATATGCTACAAAGCATCTATAATGTTAAACAGCACCATCAAACTTTCTAAAAGCAGAAACAATACAAAACATATAAAAAAAATCAAAAATTATACAGTGCTTACTAATAAATTGGCAGACATATGGAAGATATGGGAAGATATTTGCATCATCTTCATCTTTAGCTGGTAGGTTAAATACATCACCAGTGGATTCGTCTACAAAGCTGTTTAAATGTAAAGTTTCAGTCAATATTTAGAAGAAACATTCATATAATAATATATCCACAATTAATGTTTTAATTAAATTTTTGATTTTTTTTTTCATATCTTAACATAGACAGTATATTTTTAATATTTTGTTTAAATAGTTCAGGCATAAAAGTACAGGCAATAACATGCAAATGAGGATTGCCTTCCTAAGTGTTAAACTGAGTATAGAATGTGGCAGTAATGTATTCTTTAATACAGGGAAGCCATAATACTTTTACACATAACTTTGGCAATACCAAGTCAATTCTAGTAAATGACCCACCATTTGAAAGCTTATAATGTGAATATATTTTATTAAAATTAAATTTTCTTGGTTTGGACAGTGATGCTGGTTTTTGGCATGGCAAGCCTCAAATGGTATTGAAAGTATTTAAAGGAAAACATTTACTTGGTCAATAGGCATAGTTCAGCCTCAAGATCACCAAGGGCTATATTTTGAACTATGACCCAATTAAAACCTAGTAAATACAACTACCCATGAGAGGCCAAAAATATCTTTAATTTACAATCTTCTTACAAGGTGTCATCTTCGTTAGAGACATTTACATGAGCCTTGATCTTAAGATCTTTCTGAATTCCAGCATCACATCCTTGTTGATAGTTGCCCAAGTACAGTTGCCCCGGAAGAATCTCAATTGGGTACGTCTTTAGTGCATCTAGTTCCCTTGGCATGTAGATAATCTTCTGAGTTCGTAGGAAAGGGTAGAGTGCGGAGAAATCTTCATAACCGCCGCGTAAAATCTTCACTGGGTTTTTACTCCCCATTGCAGACATGACTCTACCACAGGCAATTGCTGGACCTGGATATAATTCACAAACATTGTTTTCACAAATAAATATCACAAGGCAATAAAATACAAATCATAAGCAAAAGGTGAAAAAAGAACTACCACTGAAAGCATGGATGTTCATTTTAATGTATATATGCATATGTCATATTTAATTAGCACGCTATTACTCAGGCTTGTATCTAGGAAGTGTGGTGTCCTCCCCTACTCTACACAGATTGGAAAAGGTCTAAAGTCAAAAATGTACTCAATATAAAATTTGTTATTTTCTAGTCACAATATTAGATAGTTCTACAGTGTATATACAATTCAGAGATTACAAAGCTGAAATTGACAATAGCTTACTATCCCACCAGCTCTCCCCTTTCACCCCACCGGGATTCTAGTCTACCCCCAATACACCAATGATAATTTTTGCACAACCCGCAACCAATGGCAATCCTGGATAAGGCCCTGTTTATCGCTCAAGACACTATACTTACTGGCCGAGTTTTGAATGTCCGAGATCAGTTATCTATGAATTATTTACAATTGAAGGTGAACTGTACACACATATTTTCAGTTCATATTGCAATGCAAAGTAGAATCATAAAAATACCATACAATACATACATTTTTAAAGATATAACATTTTACTTACTATTTTCTTTGAGAGTTCTTGTATTATTATCAAGAACGACAACATGTAATTTGCATTCTAATTCAGAATCATAAGGAACAAGGAATTCACCATCAGGTGTCTATAAAAATGTGTAAAAAAAAAAAAAAAAAAAATTATAACAAGAAAGGACACTTTATTAGAAAGGAAAGAAATAAAAAGATAAAAGAAGGAAAAGAAAGAAAAGGGGATGTAAAGGAAAAGATAGATAGGAAAGAAAGAAAAGCAAAGAAAAGATAAGATGTAGAAAAGGAAAATAAAGGTAAGAAAGTTACTAGAAAGTATAATACATACTCCAATTATTGAAATACACGCCATCGTGTTGGGATTCAATATTTTTTTTTACCATTGATGTCATCATCAGGAATGGAAAGTACCACAGAAAGGAAAATATTTTCTAAAGAATCATACTGTATATGTTTAAGTCTGTAGGTAAAGGTAAAAATCGTTAAATAATTAATCTCGCATTCGGCTGTAAAAGCGCATAGGCCTAGGTCTTTACATTATGCACTATGTAAATCCACATTATTAATATTATAATTCCTTATTGTAATAGTTTACTGTTTTCTTTAGGCCCATAATGATGATATAGAATAGGCTACATACCCTAGGTGCTTTTTTTGATGTGACTACATGACTTTCATTGTATTCATTAGTTTTTCTTGCATCTAAATAAAGATAGAAATGTCAACAAATAAGTTGTAGTAATAATGTAGTATCTGAGCGAACAAGAACAAGATGTGGTACTAGGCCTAGTAGGGGCCTAGGCCTAGTACCGGAACTTGATGTTCGAGAATAACGGATCCGGTACCGGATCTTTAGGCAGTTTTCGCCGCACAACGTTAACCTTAACATTAGCGGATGATGTCATAATTTATTCATCTTGTGTTGCGGAGTACGTTAATTTCAGGATTTTACGTGCTCGACATACGTTAGTTACGGGTTTGCGCATGCGTATCATGCGCGTGTATTTGTTTACAAACAAAAGGAGTGGAGCTATCGCGTTGCATATTGCCAATTGGGTACTAACGTTGAAAGTCGTGCAGCGAAAACTACCTTTTGACACCTGGAAATAATGATGTATTGGTACCGGAGCTTAAATAACATCCCGAGAACGAGTCTGGTACTGTATTTCTTCAAGACCTGAAAATAAGGGATCCAGTACCGGACCTCCTCTGTGATTCCCAGACCTCCAGTGACTATATATAGCCTAGCTTTAGTAGGCCTAGTAGTAGTAGTAGTAGTACTAGTAGCCTAGCCTAGGTAGGGCATTACCTAGGCCTAGGCTACGTCAGTCAGGAGTCGTACGACGTGACCTAGCCTACCTAGAGTCTAGGCTATGCTAGCCCCCCCCCCCCTCTAGATGGGTACCCGGGCCTAGGCTAGGCCCTAGGCCTAGTAGTAGTAGTAGTAGTAGTAGTAGGCCTAGTAGTAGAGAGGCCTAGGCCTAGTAGGCCTAGGGCTAGGCCTAGGCCTATTTAGCCTACACCAGTTTTTCTTACCCAACAAAAGTAAATAATTTGGGTCACTGAGACATGGATATATTGTAGCTTGTTGTAAAATATTATATAAAACAGTAGGTTCACATATTACGAGTCCTGCCATCATCTATAAAGTGAAAATCAATGCCCATCCATACAGCACCACATACACTTTCTGGTACCCACCACCACCACGGCCGTGTTGTTGTTTGTTGCCATGAGCGCCTACCCACACAGTGTAAATATACGGTGTTCGTGTCCATAGAAACATATAGTTCTTCATTAATGCTCATAACATCAACAGTTGTTGTTATAAATAGGATTAAAATTTGTTACTGAAGTAAAATTATATCATTTATATTTTGTTTCTCCATTTTTAGTCATTGAGTGTAAATATTTAAAGTGTAAATAAGACTATCCGCTAACAGAATGTAATGAGGCTTGTTGCTAACTAGTGAGGTTATGGGTCAGCGTGTGTACGTGCATGTCAGAGGTCGTACAACGTGACCTTCTCAAACGGAAGTTGCTCACCGGCATTCGTTCATCGCATAGGCTCTGGGAGGTGGTCTAAAACTTTACGTTTTACACACATTTATTTAAAAAAGTAGAGTAAAGATGGCATTTTCACTTAAAGCATTAGCTTCAAGAAATTTAAGCCGTTCAGTGCGACAATTTTCTTCATCAACACAGGTAAGAAAAGGCCAAGCAAGGGCTCGTTTCGTAGGCTATGTAGAGGCCTAGGCCTAGACTATGTATTGTATCACTGTGCCAGTGAGTGTCCCAGCAGTAATCTGTAGCCTGCCTAAGCCCCTGGCTGGAGTATTGAAGTAGTAGGGCCTAACGGTACGAAGCGTCTTCGTCTTCTGATTTAGTGTTTTGAGGGTGAGGTTGGCGTTTCAAATAAATACGGTAACGCGTCTTAGAAAATAAAAAATAAAAAGAGCCTTTTTCTTCCTTTTGTGAAAAACTAGGACGATCAACTGTTGTTTTTTTTTATATGGCCAATAATAATAATTTTAATAACCAGCCATTTTTGCTGCTGTATTTCTTTAAATATATTTATAAATGTTCGTATTGATCTTTTATTGTTTTACAGTTTTACAATTTTTAAAAAGTCAGTAAACATTCAAATAAATAAAACTTTAAAATACAGACAAAATGAGGCTAAAACAATTTGTCATAAAAGTAAAAAACACGAAAAAACAACAGTTTAATAATAATATTAATAATAACAATATAACAACATACAAATTCAATAATTAAAGGATTGAAGGAAACACAAAAAATACAAAAGCAAAACATCCAAATAAATAAAACTTTAAAATACAGACAAAATGAGAATCTAAACAATTTGTCTGGCGGTGCTTGCTCTTTGTATTGATTTTGCTCCTTTGTATTTTGTTGTTTGGTAATTGTCATTGCCGTTTTGGTCTGTTGCCATTTTGCTACTTATCATTGCCGTTTTGGTTATTGCCTTTTTCGTCATTGCCGTTTTGGTTTACTGCCGTTTTGACCTGCTACCGTCATTTTCAGCATTGGCAAAATAAATGAATGAATAAGGTTTTACAGTACTTAAACATTTTATAAATTATTACTAATCAGTGTACTTTGTAAAAAAATTGTGGTGCATTGATTGTTTATAAAGATATGTAGGCCTAGGCCCCATAATGTAAATCGCAGGATTGTACTTCAAAAACTAGCTCAAATCTGTGCAGAAAATTGCTAGGAAAATAGGTGCGCAGAAAGTAAGTACTGCATAATAATACCTGTACTTTGGTTGTATAAGATTAGGTCTGGTATAGGCCTAGCCGAGGCCAAGACCAATTTTTGCAAAATATGCAGGGTAATGACCCTTAGTCTGTCGACTTTGTTAACCAGGGTACTGCTGTTGTAGTGACTTATAATCAAACTCCCTGGTTAAACTAGTGAGTGAACCTATGGTAAGATTAACCTAACTCATTATAGTATTCTCTTATTATTAAAGAATAATGCCAAAGTAGCAGTTTTGGGAGCCTCTGGTGGTATTGGACAGCCGATGTCTCTGCTAATTAAGCAAAGCCCACTGGTTTCACATCTTGCCCTGTATGATATAGCTAATACTCCCGGTGTTGCAGCAGATCTGAGCCACATTGAAACCAAAGCAAAGGTTACAGGACATCAGGGGCCGGATGAGCTTCAAGAATGTTTGGAGGGCTGCTCAATCGTCGTCATCCCAGCTGGTGTCCCGAGAAAACCAGGTACAGTACATGTATAGTATTACAGTAGTAGTTTTACTTTATATCTCTTTAAACTTTGCATGGTACCTGACATTTTAAAATATTTAATTTATATGTAGTGTATTACATTTGTTCAGAGGATTCAGGCATCATATATATTTGTGCAACCTTCTCCCCCCCCCCCCAACCTCTTGGGAAGTATTCCATTTGTCCTGCAATTATGTGCCTTTATATAACACTATGCTATCAGATACAGTTTTCTTGGTGGAGAGATACTGATGCAATGCCCTGTCAACACACTGAAACCTAAAGGGCCACCACTTCCACCTACAACTACGTTGATAATAGGCTATTCTCAATCTTAAATTATCATCATCTATCAATGTTGTGTCACTCACTGTGGTCTGTATTGCATTGCTTTTATTATTTTTTCAAATCATACTGTAATGTAAATAATGTGTCATACCAGGGAGGAGTGACCCCAGCATGGTTGTAAATTACCTCAAAATGCACCATCACCAAATAGTGACTGTGGGCTATGGCTTTATTATAGCAATTTACTCTTCTTCCACTGCAACAATCAACAGTATTTATTGTTTGTTTTTTTTTTCTTTTTCTGAATCATGTTTTTTATGGATGCATAGCCCTGGGTTTAGGCAACTCAACAGCAAAAAGGTTGCTGTCGAGCCTGGGATTTATCACAGCAGTGGAAGGCCCTTTTTACAGCAATTGCTGCTGGTGTTGTCACAAAATTTGAACCCTGCCCAGGCACACACCCAGTCATCAATATATACAATACTTTATTTTATGTAAACTTAAGCCTAAATCACTCACCTCAATAATAATATTCAAATGACATGTTTTAATGACATTTACCTCAATCATGGTTTGTAGGAACTAATTTATGAAAGTGTTGCATATATTATTATTACCTACAGTATAAATTGTTCATGTTCCATTATGTTTTGTGCGCAACATGTACTGTAACCACAACACATCATGACACATTTGTCAGATTTCATATTTTCACCATACTTCATAGGTTGTAATACATTCTAGAGCGTGACGGATGTAACAAACAAAATGTACGTCTGTCACATGGTTTTATTAGTGTATTTAATGATACAGTACAGTAGGCTTCGAATTTGCTGTTTAAACTTGTTATACTGTATCTACAGTAGTGAACTTTATTAACTGAGTTTTGGAAATTTCTTTGTACCTGGAAGAAGACATAAACAAATGTCATATTTTTGTGACAGACATACATCCATATATTCATTATTTTTTAATATTTGATTAAAATTTTGTATTAATTTTTAAAAAATCAAAAACATTTCACGAACCAAATTCCAAGATATATACTAATACTTGATTTTAATGAAAAGTGAATCAGATTCTGACATTTTGCCATGGAAAAAAAAATATTATTACTATGTTTTACTTTATTTCAAAATATCAGTTAATTGTATTAAATTCAAATTATTGTTCAAATGGTTAGTAAATTCTTTATTTCCTTTTTATTTCACAAAAATAGGACTTATTACCTGTAGCTTAAAAATGATGTATCACACGTGCACATATGATGTATTTTAATTTTTTACTATTTGGTTTACTAATTATTTATGGGGAGTTGCCCGAATGTTCAATATTCAAATGACATGTTTTAATGACATTTTTGCTCAATCATGGTTTGTAGAAACCCATTTTTGCATGTTACTTGTGATCGGTTCAGAATCAATGTAAAATGAAAAATTCATGACATTACCATATGCTACCACTGTACTGTATGCTTCACTTTTCTACTGGTAGCTATTAAATTATTAATTACCCTACATAGTACATGTACAGTATTCCCAAAAACAAGAGAATCGTTGTCCCAAAAATTAATAAAATAATTGCAGCATAAAAATTAGGATGGCTAAGAAAACTTATGTCAAACACAAGTAAATAGACTGAAAATGTTTAAGAACAATATTAGAAATGAAATTGATTTACAAACACAATGTGTATGGAATAATATGATATGTTTGTTGATAATAAACTGATGTAATATGAAATTGTATAAGAAAAAGGATTAGTCTTTTTAATGATATAATTCATAAAAATGGTAGATTTTTTACATTAGAAGAGTTGACTGATACTACAGTACATTTCCTTTTTATATGAAGGAATCAAACAGGTTTTTGAGTGCCCAATATTATCCAAAATACTGTATAGTATTATTCAATTACAAATTTATGAAAATGAGTGTAACCTTTTCTATCATACTCTACTTCATTCAAAATTTACAAAATTGCTGTGTACCGCAATTCTCAATGGGAAAAATTATTGGATATTGATTTTACTGACAAACAGTGGATGTGTTAAACATAATACCAATCAAATGCACATAGAACTGATCTCAGATGGTTGCAGTGAGTGTAGAATTATACAGTACATAATAATTACCAATGAGTAATTACCTCATTAAAGTATATTGATTCACCTCTACAGTATGCATTTTTTGTAAGCCACTTTCTGAAACAACTGACCACATGTTTTGTACAGTAATTGTGAAAAAGTGTAAAATATGTTTTCATGAACTTTCATATAGGATTATAATCCATGCCATAGTATGCACCCTCATTTCTAAGTCGTTACTCTATTCATACTACCACATCCAATAGAAAGCTTAATATGATTTTTTTTTTAATCATGTTTCTGGTTAGTGTCTCTTGAATAGGCTGACCCCTGTTTTGGGGACACCCATATTTTACCAGCAAAAGAAGTTATAAAAATAATAAGAGGGAAATGCTAACATAATTATATCAAATTTATAGAGATATCACAAAACATTTACTGTATTCTTCCTGTAATTTCAAAAAATGTTCTTCAAATACAATTCCTCTGCAGCTATGATTTATGTATAATTATCTGTTTCCATATTGCAAACTATATAAAAAGTAATGTTATATACAAAGTATTCTATTTTACGATTTGAAAAGGAAGGCACTTGTACAATGTTATTTTATGTTTTCATCTTTTTATTATATATATTCATTATCAATAGTGTTGTGTATGTTTCTGTATGATGGTAATATTTAAAACAAAATAAAGAAATTTCCTCATTATAGGTATGACACGTGATGACCTTTTCAACACCAATGCATCAATTGTTAAGACATTAGCAGAAGGCTGTGCAAAGTATTGTCCAAAGGCTATGATTGGAATCATTTCCAACCCTGTAAGTAACCTATGGTGATTATCCAAACTAGGAGTTTTGAAATGGGAGGGGTGGGGGCTTATGATTAAGTGAGGGCTCTTATACACATCTAGATGTGTATAAGAGACAGTGAGCGTGGTCTCTGCTTTGAATATTTTCAATGGGTGGGGGGGGGGCATTTTTTTTTTTAGAGGAAAATCAAGTTTTTAGAGGGGAGGAGCGTGGATGTTTCACTGTCAAAACTCCCAATATTTAAGACCAAACAAAAAATAAACTGGAAACTATGTTCAATAGAACATGAACACAGTCATATCCTTCCTGCTAAATGTGTGGTCAATTTGATAATTTTGCAAAATTTTTGGTGTCACATTCACTATCAGCATGGTGGGCGTGCTCCTTAATCCAGTGGCTTAGCTAAAACGACAAGAAGACTGTACTATGCTCTTTGTGGCAGAGGTAGACTTAATTTGGAGGTTTGACCCTATGTGACCTTTGACCTCAAGCTGTGGACACCCATTGTATGAAAGGTGTCGCTGCTTCTACAGACCAAGTTTGATTGGAATTGGCACAAATGTTTGCCACAAGTAGCGTTCTGAAATGTTGCCAGAAGAAGAAGAAAAAAGAAGCACCCATTCGCCTGTGGCTGACTGGGTAATTAGTTTATTGTCTCTGCCTGATGAAATTTTTTTTTTTAATCCGGTTATCAGTTTATGTCCTGTATTAGATGAAAATAAACTCTGAACCATAATATATAAAAGTACTTGTGCTAAGAATGAAACTTGTTTGGTTTGAAATCAAGACAATTTCATTAAATATCTTTTACCATATCTAACATTAAATTTTCGTCATTGTGTAAAGTTATATTACAGCAATGATTTGCTGTATTATTTTATTAATTTTATCTGTCAAGAATTGTGTTGGTAACGTTCTTTTTATTGTCTCAATATTTTCATTAGTATTAAAATGCATTTTGATATTGTAAAATGTCTTTTCAAAACATCCAATGAATCGTATTATATCCTCAGGTTAACTCAACCGTGCCAATCACCAGTGAAGTATTCAAGGCCGCTGGGGTGTACGATCCCAATAGAATCTTTGGTGTGTCTACATTGGACATTGTAAGAGCAAACACATTTATCGCAGAGGCAAAGGGGCTTGATGTGTCCACCACTAATTGTCCAGTGATTGGGGGTCATTCTGGAATAACTATCATTCCAGTCATTTCACAGGTAGGTGAACTGAGTGGCTAAATATCTTATAGTATTGGGGACATACTGTAGCCAAAATTACATAGGCAGCAAATTTTCCATTAGAACATCGAGTACTAAGTTCGCACATGCAGAACTCTATAAATAAGAATACTAAATCGTGCATTGACATTTTAGACTTTTATTTTTACGTAAACTGTAAAGGAAGTGAATACTCGGATTACTGTCTCTTGTGTTCCTTCTGCCGATTAGCTGAGTCTTTTTATATACCTTGTTTAGCAAATCCGCCAATAATGATAATTTCGAAATAAAAATAAAATTTTATTTTTGGCCAATTAGCACACCCACTGCCATGAAAAGATGGAAATTTCAGAAAAAATACTATTTTTTATTTATTTTTATTTTAAATCTCCAAAAATAAGATATGTATAGTTCTTTCTAATTATATAAATTTAAAGCATTTGACCATCCCATTACTACAGTTTACATTCACCAATAAAATTTTGTTTTTATTTTCTCCTCTGTCCGGTTATTTTTGACAAAATTATTTTCTAAATAATTTTTTTAAAATTTAAAATTTTTTTCCGCCCTCCTGACAAACCTTTAAAAAATCAGTTCGCGAAACAAGGTACCTGTATATAAAAGTCCTGCCTTATTTAATTCATTATTAATTTTATCATCCTATTTTGAGTTGCTGATATTTAATTAACAGGTATACAGAAACCAAACAAAGTTAACAACAACATTAATAATAATAACCAATAATAATAATAACAGCTAAATATTTCAAGACCAGAATACAGTAAAACGTCCATTTTACGTACCCCTTGGTACCAAGGGGTGTTCGTAAATTGAAAATTTGTAAACTACATTGTGTGTCAGTTTCCAATACCATAGGCCAGCTATCCCCTGTCCCGACAGTCCAGCAGCGTGGTCTACCGCGCTAGAGCCTATTTGAATTTACCTTCGATAAAAACCAAATTATTTTAATCGCTGGCATTCTTCTACTTAACAAAATATCATTTTAACTCTAATTCAAACATCTGTATGTTTTATGGACCTTTCTATCGTTTTCTTTCTTGTTGTTAGATCGCCGAATGGTGTTGTTTACATGCATTTCTCGATCATATCTAGCATTCACGATGTCAAAAAGTTGCTGGCCCCAACACTCTCGTTCATCATTGTAAACATGTGCACGCAATCCGACGACACTTGCATTGGTAGCCCGTTGTTCTGGTTAGGTTTATTATACCAGAAATGCAAGAAAATATCAAATTGTTATTAAATAAATACAACAAACTTGGTTTTATGAAGAAAAATATACATTATCACTTTGTAAACGTGTGCAATCGAACTTTTTTGACGATAATAATTGGTCGATGATGACATCATCAGGGGCAAATACCATTTGTAAAATCGACTATTCATAAAATCGACGTTCGTAAATTGGACACTTTACTGTGCTAAGATTGCTATTTGAATACTCTATACAGGTTATCAAATTTCCTTTTGCTAAAAACTGGTGTGTGTCCATAAATCATCATTAGGTGATATCATTATGACCATGTTTAGGCAGGTCAAACATAATAAGACAGGGCTTAAGATTGTATTTTTTGTTTAATTTATAGTGCACACCTAAGGTATCGTTTGGTGAAGAAGAATTGGCACAGATGACGGACAGGATCCAGAACGCTGGTACAGAGGTAGTCAATGCCAAGGCTGGAGCAGTAAGTACAAGTTACTGTAATTTCCGCTATACAAGTCAGCATATTTAAATCAAGAAATTGAGTGTCCATATTATACTCGGTATGTTTGTGGTAAATTAAAAGTCTGCCTTTAAGAGCATCTATTTGTACTTACAGTCGATAATGTATTATGTGAGGTTATATAATTAACCCTCTGGATCTGATAGTAATTGAATCCTGCGAACTTTTTTCATCTAACCTACGAATGAGCATTAAGCTTGCATAGATTGTGTACACCTGTTAAATTACCCATAAACCCCTCTGCTAATTGCACAATTTATAACAGTATTTCAATTGTGTTTGAAATAACTTTTTTTTTTGTTTTTATGTTTTTTAGGGATCTGCCACGTTGTCGATGGCCTATGCTGGTGCCAGGTTCACTTTCTCTGTAAGTTTGTTTATTCCCAACACAACACAATGTCTATCTCTACTTAAAGTCTATATCGGTCTATACTATAATATGCAAGATTAAACATTAGACCCACTGGCTTTTATAGTAATTACCGCTCTATATAACAATAGACGGTAGCCAGGATAGGATGCAGTTGCAAGGCACCACCACCTATTATTTTTTAAGTATTGTATAACCTTTGAATTGTACAGGTTTTCTTTTTGAGTAGAAGCTATAACATTCTGGTGGTCTGCATTCACTGTACATAATAATTTGTTCTTTTCAGCTAATTGAGGCAATGAATGGCAAACAGGGTGTCATTGAGTGTGCATTTGTCAAATCGGACCTCACTGAAGCTACCTACTTTGCTACACCTCTTCTTCTTGGGGTAAGTTTTAAAAATCTGATCATATTTAATCAACTTAGCAGCCTTTGTTTTGTTTTTTTCATATTCTCTGTGTCTTGTATTCAAATTCCATTCGAAACCAGTTTGAATGAGGAAAATGATTCAATAAATGTTCAGCCAAACAGTACATTTTAGTGTTGGACTTCATTTTCTAATCTCATACTAGTTAGTGTTTCATAGGGAAGCCTACAAAATGAAATGTTGCATAGAGTATGAAGTCAATATGCTGAACTTGGCTCGTTCACTTATCCATAGATGCACTAGCCAAAACCTTTTAATAAAAAATTATATAATAAGGAGTTTTTGATTTGCGCAAAAACAAATTCACTCATGCATGATGTCCTACGTTCTCACATCCGCAGACGACTTCCTAGCGCTTCCTATACTAGATAACATTTTTTTTCATTTTTTTTTATCTTTTAATCAGCCTAATGGTATAGAGAAGAATCTAGGAATTGGAACTCTTTCAGCGTATGAGACAAAGCTAGTCAAAGACTGCATTGAAGAATTAAAGAAAAACATCAAAAAGGGGGAAGATTTTGCTGCTAATAATTAATGAGTATCACAGATAATTAAAAAATACCACCTCCATCAAAGAAAAACATCAAAAAGGGGGGATATTTTGCTGCTAATAATTAATGAGTATCACAGATAATTAAAAATACCACCTCCATGTGCTATAGTCATTGCAGCTCATTATATGAAAACTTTGTTCCTGAATATAGACATGGTTGATAAAACCTGGTAAATTATTTGGTTAATATTGGTTTGTCATTTATGTAATGCATAGTTTTAACTATTTGTCCTAACTATTTAATCCTAATAATTATAAAGTAATATAAAATATACATTTTATAGAGTTGATTGATTTTGTACAGATTGAAGTGACCTGTTAATTTTGTAAATGGCAATTCTAATGAAGCTCCTACTGAATTCCTACAGTCTGTGATGGTAAATAGGAAAAGAGGAAAATAAATATGCACATGTTAAAGTGAAATATTGTATAAGTGTTATTAATTCAGCCTTGATTATGATAGTACCATACTAATAATTCTTATCGCTATCGTGAATTTAGGCTGTAAATCGTTGGAAGGAATAATCTTTTCTTGAATCTACGATCAAGTTCAAATTCCTTTACCATACTTTATATCACAAATATCAATTCAAGACTTTTTACTGGTTACCCTACTCATTACTTTTAGTCTAGATTTCAGACGACAGCAAACTTTATTTTACAGTATTGTTTTGACCCATTAGCATCTCCAATGCTTTTTTGCCAATGGGTCTCTGATGACACTGTAACATTTATAATGTTTGTGCAATACACATGACCCAGTGTATCCGCCCTGAATGTGAACGTTCGTATTTGAGGTATAAAAACATCTTTAGTAAATTATTTCCAGGCAATTCTTCACATTCTTTAAATCTCATATTCACACAATATTGTGATATTTTACACAAACTAAGCTTCACTCCTCTTGTAGACCGAATACAGACCCGTGGGATGAATACAAGTATATTGTGTTTAATCTTAATCTTCTAACAATGTCTCCATCAAAGTTGGCACCAACAAACAGATGCACATATCACCTTAATTCCCCTTTCCTTGTCAGTATTCCTAAGTACACCACTGACGCCAATTACAGATCATTAGGGTAGAAATTCTTTTGGAAAAAAATGTATTTTCTGCCACATTTCATTTAGTAATGAGTTAAGAATACAAACTTACACATGCATTAGATATGACAAGATAATCTGATATAAGTTTTTTACCTAAAAGGATTAGTTAGCTCATTAAATTTAATCCAAACATAATCTGCTGTGATTTATAATTTCATGTGAAACCAACAAAATATATAAATATATACTCAATTTTATAACATACTATTGTATTATACAGTTTTTAAAGCATTTGAGTCATTAAATACTAGAATTCATCAAGCTACTCTATGCATTTATAACCTCTGTCATTATTGACAGTATCCAATCAGCATACGCAGACACCTTGGTGTAGACGCCAGGTTTATTCTCACGAGCACATCCACGTCCCCAGCTTACCACGCCCATTAGATACCAATGTCCATCTTCACCCTCACATTGTAATGGCCCTCCAGAATCGCCCTGATAAAAATAATCAAGAAATGTAAAATATTAATATACAGGCACATGCTCCCCTAAGGTTCGAGACCATTGCTAGTTATGAGGCTAAATTCCTTGGGCAAAACACTGCTGCGTGGCTTTAAGATATGTTTTTTAGGAGGGGCTAGTCTGTCAGATCATTTTCGGCTGTAGGTTAGAAGGCTGTAGGTATGGCATCTTTGACCAAATATCTTTAACCTCCGGGCCCCAGATAGTGGAGGAGGTTGCGTTTTTTATACGACTTATTCAAAATCCAGTTACCAGTACCAGAAAACACAAGCACATAGACAATAGTATTGTTTGAAAAATAAATTGTAGGCATTTAAAGGTGTATTTACACAGATGAAAGATGGAATAACACTGACATTATGCGCACATTGAGTAATAACGTCATAGCGCAACTCAACATTGCATTCTGTCATAGATACTGGAGCTATGCATATCCTTGATTGACTAAATATTTTAATGACTTATTTGGCAGTAATCGACCTAGAGAGCCACGCCCACCCCCAAATGAGTGAAACATACCTGACAGGCATCAATACCGCCAGACAGGTGACCAGCGCAGATCATATTTTCAGTGATAACGTTACCATAGACATGCGGGGATCTGCATATGTAATAAGGTATAAATGGTACCACTGCCTGCTGAAGTTCAACAGCTTGGAAACCATTCACTATAGCAGGAGAGAAAAAAGTAAAACTGTTATGAATAACCTCCTGTAGTTGGATGGCAATCATACAAAAGGGAGCCCTCTAGAGCCTGTGAACAAACAACTGAATTTGTTTGTTACTCAACATTCAATAACATTGAGAACTGCTGATGTTTTTGGTAATGGTTTCCCTCTTTTTTCCCCTTATGAACCATATTGTCAATTTAATTTTTCAATTCTGTATTATTATTATTTCAATGAAATCATGAACAAATTACAAGTACAATAGAAAGTTATTAATCACATTTGAGAAAAATATATAATAATACAAAGTATACAATACAGCAGGCAATTTTTTTTTTTTAAAGGGTCGATTCTTGAAACTTTGCAAAGTGTGAACATGTCTGTCCTGTGAAAAACCCAATATTAATATGTTCTCTTGTGTTCTTATCGCTTACTTTCTGTGACACCCCATCCTGTTACGAAACAATACGATGTTTCTGTTAAGACAAATTGTTTGTCTATACAGGCCCAATTGATGTTGTCTTGCACTTGAACGGCGGGATCAATTACAAGTACTGCGATGTCATTACGCATGGTCATTGTACTAAATTCAGGATGAATGATGATATTCACCACATCAAAATCATCTTCACCAATGTTCTTGTCAATGCTCATAGCAATGGTGTGTTTTCCTAGATGCACTTTCCATTTTGGAGGATCAAGCCTAAAGAGAGATTACAACTAAACAAAATTGATTACTCTGCTAAAAACAACAATCACAAACATGAAATAATTTTTCAGAAATGTAAAATTTCTTGAAAGAAAGGTAATTAAACCAGATCTTTTGGCAAACCTCCCCCTTGAGATACCTGCTTTAGAGACGGTGGTGGCGCCAGCATTTACCCGACCGGTGGGGGGGGGGCGTGCGATGTCCCCGACGAAAAAAATGTGGGCGTGGTCGGGCCTCGCTTGCCGATTCTCTTTTACGTCTGCTATACTTATTGACTTTAGTATGGCAAAATTGAAGTTTAAGAGAGAAAGAAATTCATCTTTAGATGAAGGCCAGCACAGAACCTGTCTCTTATACACATCTAGATGTGTATAAGAGACAGGTGTAAGGACATTCCGAATAGCTGCTAAACGAATAGCTGCTTAAATCTGACTCAGAAAAACAATTATTCACATTAACGACACAGGACAAATCAAGTTTATAGTAATGATTAATATTATAGTAGAAGATGATGCGGAAAACAATTACTTACCACACCCCTCCTCATCTGTATTGTCGTAGCAATCTTGAATATCGTCACAAATCCAGTCCAATTTAATAACAGTTACACCATTATCACAAGAAAAACCTAACGGGGAAAATCGTGCAATTTCTACTACTATGTATATATGTTACATAGATATAATCTATAAACCGTGTTGCAGTAATGCTATAATAATGTATATGGTTTACATTGTGAACGACACAGAAGAGGAATCTGCAAATGTGAATTTTTTTTCTCTAGCCGGGATTCGAACCCGGGACTTTTTCTTATACAGACTACTTAACTAACCGGGCAATTTAGGCTTTCGTGTGAAGTTGGAATCATAAATGCATACTGTAGGCTAAATGGAGTTCATTTTCGTGAGTAAGTTTATATGAGTAATGGTTTTCAATAGTATGAAAATCTTAGAATCTATATAATGTTTGCAAACACTATCGCATTACCGGTATGTGTTTTTCCAGCAATATGTAACCTAGTATTACTTCACTTTATCTCATTTGTAAAGATACAACTATAAAGTATGGTTGTATAATGCTACCAACCATGAGAAACATTGATCACCACAAGAGAGTACGGTACCGTATCAGCTTACTGTATCAATGAACATGTCAGTGTATAACCAGTTGCGTAAAAGCTATGAGCTCACACTGTCTTAAATTGTAAGTAGCGGAACGTGTAAAAAACATCGACGAAGTGGGCGGGTCCGGGCCGTGTGTCAAACTAGGCCCCAACTATTATCCCCAGAGTAGTAGGCTACGAAGAAGCTTTAGTCAGGGGATTCGGGTCTCTTTGTTACACCACTGTGTATGAAACATTATTAGGGCTATAAGTAGTAGAATTACCTTCCAGATCAGGGCAATTAGCTTCATCACTCTCATCTGCACAATCGTAGAAGTAATCACACTCCCATTCCGTATAAATACAGTCTCCGTTGAGGCAATGGAACACGTCATCCTTGCATGGCACAGTGTATGACAGTCGATGGTAAGATTGGTTTGTGCCTAAAAATAAAATAATTCATTAGGGTGTAAATACTCTTGGTGATTTGAAAATATTTTCAAACTTTTGAATGCAATCTTTAAAATTATTTTATTTTTTATAGTTAATTCAAGAATAAAAGCAAACAAACATGTAAATATGTAATAGATTATATAATAGAAACGTATATACTTATATTTTAAATGAATAATATATTATTATTTGCCTTTAACATGAGCAATAGTCAGTAAATCATATTCAACATAGCTTAAACAATGTAGGCCCTACTTATATAGTTACATGAAACCGTTATAAAAGAAAAACTAAATAGCGAACCGAGTAAACTTTTTTTGCACATTAAACAAATATGACCAAATTGCTCCAATAAACAAGGACACAAACCTTTTGTTTTTATGTTCGGGTACTTCATATAAATTTAAGTAATTTATATTTGAACAAAACCAAAACTGTTTTATGTAAATTTAATGTAAAGAAGATAAAATAAAAGCGAGTTACCTCCACGAAAAAAAACAAAAAACAAGTACACAAGATATTACCCCCACGGAAGAAAGAGAGAAAAAAAACAACCACACAAAATTTGCTTTGGATAGGCCTTGGACTATGCTTAAAGATACTCTACGTAGGCCGGTATATTTTACACTAACGTTCAAATCATAATAGACCAGACTATATCATAAAATCTGAGTCACTAGTAATATTCATCCATAGCTAGTCTCCAGGTTAATTTGAAAATAAGCACATTTACTTACCAACGTCCACTCGAATTGAAAATGAAAAATCAATGTTACAAATTAAAAACAAAAAGAACGTAACGACAGCTAACGTAATCATGACTGGTGCTAAAAGAACTAAGAGAGTCGGAACGTGCAAAGTGGTTGATTTGTGTAAGGTCTGGTGGCGGCAAGTTTGAAATTCTTCAAACCATATACCTCCATGTTCAAACCACGTGGCCTGGTAAAACCCTCGCCTTGGCATTGAATAAAGCAGTGTTTTGTATGCACTAGAGATGTCGTGAGAATAACGTTGTGCCAGCAGTGCATGCTATTGATAAAGTTATACAGTTTTTTTGGACCAAGTTTCTTTAATATTTTACCACTTTTTTGACCATTTACTTTTGTGTTTATATGGGACTAATATATTTGTATATTATTATAAATATATAATATATATTTATAATTTAAAAAAATATATAGGCCTATCCTAAAAAAGTTGGAAATGTTTATTTATTTTATCTATGTTTAATATTTTACATTAAAGTTATAATTTATCGTTTAAATTGTCATAAACTACTCGATTTAATAATCAATATAATATATAATAAACAACGTAAACATTTAATTATATAGGCCTATATCTATATTATATATATATTATATTATAGTCCATTCACTTACATATATATATACAGTATATACTTATATTTATTTACACACACACATACACAAACATATATATATATATGTATATATATATATTTATATATATATTATATTTATATACTGTATATAAATTTATATGCGATCAGCACAAAGTTGGTATGTTCGGCATAATTGTTATGTGAGCGGTGTAAAAATATCCAACTTTGTATGAAATATACAATAAACTAATTGAATTGCCAGGATTTTATAAATTTCAAAGTATCCAGGGAGGAAAAAATCGTTCTCGATAATAATGGTTGACTACGGGATCCTTTCTATGGGGTGCCATACGCAGCAAAAGTCCATGTTAAAAAACAAAATGTAATTGCAAAATTCAATGTCTGATTTATCAAAACGTAGGCGTAAATTTCTCAAAATGTAGATCTAGTTTCCCAAAATGAAGTTCTAATTTTTGAAAACGTAGTTCAAATTTTCCAAAATGTAGTTCTAATTTCTTT